AGGGTCGGCACAGGTACTTGTGAACCATTTTTAGATATTTTATATTGAGTTGGTTTCGCTGTATTCTAACCATATAAAAAAACGAGCAAGAAATCAAAAGAATTTTTGTTAACGAAAATTTCTTTTGTCTTTAACTCTAATCTCTTTTGTTGTCTGTAATAAAATGGAAACTAGCTAAGATTGCAGTGACCAAGTAGTTTTCGTACAAACCTGAACCCTCAGCGCTCCCACGACTTTGTATAGTTTCTGCTGGATGTTGAGTCCACTTTGGGACTTGTTCAATTTCATCCGTTTGGGTTTCTGTATTTTCATTATCATCATTTGTTTGAATTTTTGCCTAACTGTGGAAGTAAATATAACTACATTAGAATAAACTTTTTGACCTACTTGACTAGAAGTTGCGTTAATAAAATCACACATATAAACCGCGTACGATTTTGTTGGTGTAATATCGAGTATATTAAATGATTGTCGATCGAGTTCAATTAACCGAGATAAATCACGATAGCGACGTCGAACTTTATCGGCAATGTCATGTGAATGAAATCGTTTTTCACAAGTGTATACTTTTATGTCCGCCGTTGAAGGACTTGCTAATCCCTGAACGCAGAAAAAGAATTAATTAGAGAAAAAACCTTTATTGAAACATCAACAATACCTCATATTTAGGTGAAGAAACTCGTTTTTTAGCTGACAATTGATCAAGAATAATAGCAGCTTTCTAATTAAAAAATTTCGAAGTAATTGATCGTTCAAAAATTAATTTCCTTCTATCTTACAGTGTGAATGTTTTTCACTTTTGTGCGTGAGTGTGCAGGCGTTATGCAGATAGAGAAAAGAAGAGCATTGTCTTTCCACCATATTCCCTTTCTGGCGGCAAGCGAAGCGAGTAGGTCTCAAAATCTCAGTTTTGGTTGACGTCGAAGTTTCTGTTGTTTTAAAAATAATTAAAACAACATAATTATTTAGACTGACCAAATTTAAATAACCAAAACTGAGATTTTGAGATCTACTACCAGATCATGTTGCGGTTTTTTATTAGTCAGTGAGTATTTTTCTGATTTACAATATTTCGTAATTCAATTTATTTATTTAATTCCTGCTAAGATTCAAGATTCGACAACATGCTATGGTACGATTTATAATGTTCGAAGTCCAGAAAAGCCAGTGAGGTAAATGAGTCCTTATCTTTATTCATTGTTTAATTATTGATTTCATTATAGATTGCTAAGTTGTGAAGCGTCTTTATGTTGACGTTGCTGCTCTTCGATAGCATATTTATTTTGCGGATGCGTAAGTATGTGAACTCTGTGAAAGCATCAATGAATACGACAGATTGTTTCACTTTTCAGAAAGATGGATCTGTTGTATTGTGGGTAAGTAAATTTTCGTTAACAAAAATTCTTTTGATTTCTTGCTCGTTTTTTTATATGGTTAGAATACAGCGAAACCAACTCAATATAAAATATCTAAAAATGGTTCACAAGTACCTGTGCCGACCCTTCCAACATTTTCAACAGCCAATATGAGTTTAACAGACCACCATTATAATGAAGTTATACGATTATTACTATTGCGAACAGCTAGGTACGCTTTATCAACCTTCGATTAAAGTCATAATGAAGATCTTCTATGTTATAGTGTAAAAAGCAAAGTAGACCGTTTAACGGCTTCATTTTCCTTGGCATCATTAGATGCTGATGGACGCATTATTTCGTTGGGTACACTTGATACTTGTTAATAGGTCGGTATCGATCGTTCAATATTATTCTTTTTAGTCCGTTGTTGAACTATCGCACACAGATGAGGCTGGCTCAATATCAGATCTTGGCCTTAAACCCGGCGAAAAAGTGCGCATAACCCAAACATCGTCGATACAAATACGAACATCTATACATATGCCAAAGTAACTACAGATTCAGCGTCTTAAAAATAAAATAATCTGACTAATTTTCAAAGAGATTCGATTCAAGTATACGATGTGGCTTGCCCAGTGAACAATGTGGATAATTTGTATGTGGCAAGTAACGCCATTTTCCTTGGCATCATTATATTATAGATAGAAATGCATTATCAATATTTGTTGAAGAAAAGTGCACTGCCAGCTGCTCCCTACCATTATCGAGGAACAGTTTACAATGTCGCTCAGTACGACCTCTATGCCAGAGGATCTTTTACCTTGCACAAATGTTGATGAAGTATGAAAGTGGCTTCTGATGAAACCGGCAGATTCGTGATTAAAGCTTATAAATCAAACTACGGTTCGAATTTGTTATTAATAACAGATATGCGTTTAATTATATAATTGATAATTATTATAGCACGTACTAAACGTTTTGCTTGTGTAAGACTGTTATTGGTTAACCAACGTATGTCAGCTTACTGGAGTAATTAATATTAAAAAAAGAGAAATAGATCCCATTTCAATGTAAAGCGTCTTTGTGATATTCTTCTCAATTTGGTTGTTATCATCAATCACTGCATTCATTTACCTTTTAGCAAGGTTAGTCTGATTTTTGTGCAACTATTTTTCGTGCTGGTGCAGTGAACCGGATCTAGGAGTCCATCCGTAGGCAGATTAGAAAAGGCTGTTTATTTGTTTTTATCTGATCAGAAAGGTTAGCGGGATGATGTTGCTGAAATTAGAGGCGTATTCATTTTTGTAGTCAGTAGTTCTAACATACAAGCGCCGAATCATCCGTATCGAAACATTTTTTACTTGTAAAACTTCTCTGTTCATTTTCATTTTATAGATGGCATCGTTAGGACTTCATTTACTTACAATTGTACTTGGTGTATTTTTTATTTTTCTTGGACATCTCAAGGTAACGCCACAATTCTTTCCCGAATATCATAATTATATTAAAAATGAGTTTGGTATGTAATATGAGCAGGCGTCTACTATGTTAAAATGACGTGTGCTTGTTTTTTACTTTTAGGGAAATACAATAAAGAATTTCCATTCTATCGTCAAACTAATTTTCGACCATATGCCAAAAACTACCGTTTAGGCGTTGGAATAACGGAAATGATCTGTGGTGCATTACTAATTTTAGGCGGAGGTAAAAATAGAGAAGTTTAATCCGTCTCTGTATGTATGTTCACAATGGGCTCGTTCTTAAAACCTGCGTCAAGCGTTTTTCTCGACGCTCTTACATTTGAAAAAACCGATAGAGTTGTAAACTTTACATTATTATTAAATAAAGGAAGATATTTTGTGATAGCACATTGTTTATCTTTTTTTCTATTCTAGGTTTTTTAAAAACACTATCCAATATTATTTTGTTGGCTCTTACTGTTGTGGCGACATTAACATTTCAAAAATTACATTATTCAATCGAATATACAGCGCCCATCCTTTTAACCACTTTTTTGTTAGTAGCACGTATGTTAATGGCATTAAAATCGAAAACAGTCGAAGTTGTTAAATCGGCAAAGAAAAATGTCGAGAAAAAAGTCAGTTAAATTTGGTTTTGTGAAATATAATTATCTTAAAGATATAACACAGTTTGTATGTGTATTTTTCTCATAAACTTACAAAACGATATCTTTGTACAATCGTCTGTTGTCGTTGTTTTAAATGTTTGTTGTCGTGTTTTTTTTTTGCGTGTCATCATTACATGTACTTGTTGTATGAACGTTAAATCTCAATGTGAAAAAATGGTTCCATCCAGTCTACTACAGCGCATTTGTTTATTTATACTCTAGTTGAATAATGTTTCGATATTTAGTGTAACGTTGACGTTTTTTTTCATATGTTCTATTGGCTTTTTCTTCATTATATCATGTGCATTTTTTTTAACAAACAAAAATAAAAATCCACCCCATTTTTTTCGTTTTAATTTTCATTTTTATCATAAAAACAAAAATATTGTGTGTATGTGTGTACGCAAATGTTTCTCCTTGTTTTAAAGTGTGACCATGTTTTCTTTTATTGTTTTCTTTTTAATGTTATAATAAACAAAACATATGACAAGAAAAAGGATTGTTCATTTGTCTCCGAGTGGTGAGTATAACATTATCTACTTCAATAGTTTCCCTCTGGATTTCGATGTCATTATGTTATTCCACTATTTAGAACTTTGTTGTTTTTTAGCAGTGGTTAACAATGGCGTTTCTAATAATAATTTGTAAAAAAAATCACAGGTATGATTGTATATACGTATAGTAATATAAGCAGTCTCTTTTATACCGGTTGAATAACTGTCAAAACAAGCATATACTCGAAATGAAGCGTTTATTATTTTGCCTTAAAGTAAATCCCATATCACTCGGTACTTACATAGTATAATGAAATACCAATTAGATAGATAAGTCAATTGAAATTTCTTTCTCTTGAGAATAACTATATTTTTTACATGAAAATTTGTCTATCATATATTTTAACGAATCAAGATTCAGTATAATTAGAAGAAAAAAGAACAATATGGTTTGAATTAATTAAAATGAGTATTGCCAATGTCATTCTATTACTGACATATTTTTTTTGTCTTATTTTTCTTTTTCATCAGCAATTTTGCGGTTGGTGTCATCTTTGAACAGAAAAATACCATAAGTAACACACACAATTCTTATATAAAAAAATAAACTGATTATAAAAAAAGAACAACAAAAAAAAAAAAAATTTTTTTGATCACAGGGACTGAAGACTGAAATAGAAAAGTAGATGATTGATAAAAAATAGAATTTAGTAGATCAAAGATCTAAAGTAAAATATAAATATTCGATTCTTAATGTAGTTTTTTTGATTCTATGACATCGACATTAGACATACGAATATTTTTCCTATTGTTCGGACATGTATAAAAATCATATCATTTTGTATTCGAGAAAATAAATCAATTTTTCATTAAAAGGTTTCTTGTTTGAAATATCACAAAGCTGATAGAAGAAACGAATATATATAGGAAAAAAGAAAGAATAGAATGTAGCTGCAAAACATGCAGAAACATTTAAGCATAAAGAATGCATATATATATATATATATATAGATATATAATAGAGAAAAACATTATTTTTTCCATTTTTATATTACATATACATTTGAACATTTTTTGTTGTTTTACTTTTCACCAAGATGCATACGGTGGTGGCCTTGACAGAGCCGGCATAGAATCAAGATTCATGTTTTTACGACATCACTCATTTTTGTATTGCATACCGTTCAGATGGTTTTTCAAAATTAATCCATATTAATCGCTTGAGTGCGAGTCTAGAAAGAAAATGAGTAATAATATCAAATTTACAATGTCAATTGATAATAATTGCATTTTATAGTTTCTAGATTCTTGTCTTTAATTTACAATAAGCTGCGCAAATACTCTGTATTAAAAAAGAAAATACCGATCAGTTTACGTTTATGTATAAAACAAGACATTTGTTGATGATTAATGAAAATTTAGAACAAGTCCTTTAGATAATTATAAAATGGAAGAAAGAATTCGCATTTAGGTATGCACATCTATAGTAGTTTGAACAAGGATAAAAACCGATAAATTATGAAAAATTCCAACTGTTATTTTTTATTTTTTATTTTTATCATTGTTGGCATAATAACATATGTGTTCTGCTCCTTAAAGGATTGTTCATTTTAATTGCCGTGATAAATAGGAAAGAGTGTCGTATTTTCCTTTGTCTCATATTATGCGCACATATACACATACACAAACACATGTATATATAAATAAATGTAAAAACTATAGATCCTATAAAAAAATTGAAATTTTTTGTTTACAAATATATTTTTATACACTTTTTCATTTTGAAAATATTGGATAGAGTTAAAATTTTTTAAAAATATCGTTGATATACATTTATGAGAAGAGACATAATAATGAATCTTACCGTGATTATCTTCAGCATTATCATCTGATCTATATAAATCAACATCTTGTTGTCGTTTAATCAATGGTTGTTTTGAATTATTGTTTTCGATATGTTGATAGTTACTATCAGACGTAATTATACACTTAATTGGTGTTATATTCGTATTAAATAACGTTCGTCTGTGTAAATCAATTAGTGATTTTCGAACTATCATGGGTATCCGATTGGGATCTAATAATGAATTACGTTGCTTATTTGTTGGTCGATTTCCATGTGTTTCATGAGTGATACGATGAGTACTACGACTGTGATGATGATGTTGATCATTTATAAAATTTGTTGGCGATAAACCTGACATTGTTGACTCACGTAGAGAATTTGTCGATTTAGCATGTAAGCATGCTTCAGATGGACTACGAATAACAATTGTACGCGGTGTTGCATCAATTGTTGGTTCAGATGTTGCACGAATAAATGCTCTTTGTTCATTATGTTCACCAGAATTTGGTGCAGATGATGGTGATACAGATACTTTTGCATACGCAGAATAATTCGGAAATATGGAGGGTGGATTACATAATTTTTCTAATTTTCGCGCAAGATTAATAACTGCGAATAACCATAGACTAATAACAACAAGAACTAATAGGCATTCCACAGTGCTCATTTTGTACATTTCTTCTTTATCACCTAGATACCAAAATATAAAAAAAATAGTATTAGAATCAGAAAGTCTATGTATGCTGCGACAATAAAGTGTGTAACACTCACCTGTTGAACTGTTTTCCATGATTTGTTTTTCAAGTAAAATCCACTTAAGAATGAAATCATATTATTTATAAACAGAAAATTGAATACAACGACGACAATCCATTTTTCCAGATTATTTCTATTAAATGCTCTTAATAATTACAAACACTTTATGACACATGTGTAGACATACACATACGCGCACAATAATGATGATAAGAATAAATTTGTTTTATCTGTATACTATTGCAACTGATAAAAGAACAAAATAGAGAGACAGAGAGCTTGATGTTAAACTGTAAAAGAAAGAAAGAAAGAAAAGATGAGAGATTAAGAAGAAGAGAGTTAAAGGGAGTATCCCCTTCGTCACTTTTTTTCTATTGAAAAGAAGAAAGATCCGCTCATGTCAGAAACTCAACACATAATTTATGTTTTTTTATTATATGGTGTTTTTATTCTTTATAATTATTTCTGTTGTATAATATGAATAGTCGAATCAATTTTATTCGAATATAAATACTCTTCTCTATCGACTAAGAATTTCTTAACTGCGGAATACTCGTCTAATACTGTGACGTTCAACAATCATTTATTGGGGAACTCTATAAGAAGACTAATATTCTATGATATCACTATAACTATGTATGGGGATCGATGAATAGCTTCCAATTACACTTGGATTTAATCAACGAGACATTATTTTACATTAGATAATCCATCTCTATAGGACATATATTGTTTCGTTTTTTTTTATGTGCTACAACACTAATATAACGATATAACTAATATTGGTCTTATTTTTTCTACAGCTGTTTTACATTGACATTTTGTTTTTGTTACTACAGCTATAACTAACTAAATACAAAACCTTTAATTTAACAGTAATTTGTATCATTCTAGAAACACCATTATGTTCCTGTTTGATATTGATGATGATGAGATACGTGTGTGATAAGTACACTATTAACTTGAATAGAGTAATATTTCACTTCTACAAAATGATAAAGATTTCTAAAAATATGAAGTCAATGTTCTATATCAGCAGAAGATCTACAATATCCTTTTTATCAATTTTTTTAATGAAACTATCATTGGTAGTCTTTTTAGAACTCTAATTAGAACTGCATAAAACATTTAGCATTTGGCTCAGTGTTATATAGATTATGTTTACTTTAAGATGAATGATTATGGATGTAACTTATCGGACTCTTTATTTTAAGAAATGATCCTTTAGAACAGGATCTTTACATCGCGGCATATGAAATGGATACATGTATTCGGATACAATTGTTTCTAATTTATGCCTATTAGGTAAAGGTAAGAAGATTCTTTGGTGCATTGTAGAGTATTGTTCTCCTGGTGTAAAATTTGATAGTTTCTTAGCTGTTTATTTATGTCGTCCAATAGAAAGGCAATCCGACTAACAGTGCGAGATAAATCTTCGTAGTTTTCTTCCGCCTGTCGATTCCATAAGTTGTAATTTGGGCTCCATAGGAGACATGACAGAGTTAAAAAATTCTGAAATAATAATATTATGAAAAAAATTTATTTCTTGTTTTTTATTCTTATACTTATAGTAAGATTATACTAAAAATATTCTATTACCCGAAGATGTGTAACTAAAGTTTTGTTCGTGATAGTAAACTGCAGTATTTTACTATAAAGAACTCATTCTATATTTGTAGACATTAATTAATTAAAGTGTATTATGCTTTTATTATTCTAGTTTTTAAATATATATCAGCATTTACCCGTAAATAGTGTGACCATTACTAAGGATAGTGACATGATAAGAAGAAAAAGATTATTTACGCATGCAATTATCTCTAATATATAACAATGTTTCAGAAGCTTTTTCTTTTAGGTCACGTTCTCAACATTTTTAAAGCTGTAGTTACGAAAATTCTGACACAATGGACGAAGTTATTCACAATAGACTTTTAAAAATAATTGAAAAATCTTTATAAACTTACTAATAAAATTTTTCATCATAACTATGCTATGGATGTCAAAATAGTTATGTGATCTGGTAAAATTATAATGATAATTGTTGTCATTGTTATTTGAGTGTTGATTACATTGATGATCAATGCACGAATGCGTTTCATCTATAGTTATTTACATGTTCATAAAAACATTAATTTATTATGACTTTTCCTTTTTAACAAAGAAAAGTTTTTGTCGATTAACAGAAAAGATAGATACACACCTCTGACATGTTCCGAGTAAAGAAAAGAGGAAATTTTTACAAATTGATTAATATAAATGTAATGGGAACTACATTTTTTATCCTAATAGATTTTAGTTCATGTTTCTCTTTTCTATCCTTCGACCGGAAATTTACTAGTGGTACATAGTCTTCATTCTAATCTAATAATCCTTTCGCCTTCTTTTTTTAATAGCTTAGCTTAGCCGGAAGAAAGAGAGAAAACAGATTGTTACTCTGTGTGTATGTTTTTAAACAAAAACCAGAATCTTTTTTTTTTATTACTACGAGAAAGAAGAAATGAACAAGATTGAACTCAATTTCCCATAGCGAATCTTTAATAATAACAATGATAATAATACGTTTTATATGATAATCTAACATGATCGAAAACAGAAAATAACAATCTCCTATTATATTGTTACAAGCTAAGAAAGAGAAAAAATATGAGAACCAATTTCAAGCACGAACTATTTACATAAGTTGATTTTCGTATCAAAAATAAAAACTAGTTTACGTTAGAGAGAACAGCAAGAAATAGCAAATTTTATTTTATTTTTTGTATAATATTAGAACCTTGTTTTTATATCACGTTTATTACCAGTGACTATTTGCATCTATACACTAGTATACTAGTGAGTCAAGACAATGTTCTACTATTTACATTAATTCACCAATATTCAAAAGAGTTTATGACCAAAATTTCATTGTTGAGCTAATAATTCAATTACTTAAACTTATTGAATAGTTGTCGATTGGGAATTGCTTTTTATGTTAATTTTCAAAATAGCATAATGAGCAATAGAAGAATACCACTGAAAGGTAGTGTTTCTTTTAACGCTAAAAGTAAGTCATAAGGATTCAACGATGCATAAGAATCATCATATAGTCTATCACTAAATATAAAATAAAATAAAATATCTTTCGATATTGGTATTACAATCGATAGTCTTTTCTCATCGTTCTGATTTTGATTAATTGCTACAAGGGTGTGATCACAGCCACACACAAAAATCCGCAGTTACTACCACTAGTGGACGGAGATGCTTTATAACTGAAATTACAAACGAAGTCTCTTTCACGTTTATTGTTCACATGTACATCTATGTACAACACGTATAAACACACGACTGACGAGAAACAAAGAAAAGAGAGGTTATGCTTTTACACACGTTTTTGTACAATATATAGTCCTTATTTATCAGACATGCAGCATTCGAGAATTATTTAACTTTGCTGCATCATTTTAAACAATAAAAACTACTCGAAACGCTTAAAAATCGTCGAGTGTGTTGTTAAAGTATGTCTATATATTTTAAATGAATACTGCTGTGCAAACGAGCGCCCTTAAAAGAAATAAAAGTCAAGAAGTGAAGTATTGTGGCTAATTTAAAATGAGAACTCTTGAACAACTAAATTTCCACGTAAATTAGTTTAAATAATCATCTTTCATTCTTGATCATAAAAATCTAACTACAAAACTAAACTCTCTAAATTCTGAAAGAAAATATCGAGAAATTAGCTTGACTTTTCGTACTAACTACTCATGGATAAAATTTTTCATATTAAATATTCAGAAAAAATTATCAAAACTAAATACAAGAATATCGAGAATTTAGTCTCTTCATGGATTAGGAGCTAAATTCAAGATACTCTAGATGAGTAAACCAAATTCTTATGAATATTAGGCTAATTTGTTTAATTTTGTTTTTGATGGCAATTTTGAGTGATGAAAAAACGTTTGCTTTTTATTGGTTGCTAAATTTTTACGCAAAATTCTCTAGCAATTTGAGAGTTTTTAATTCCAGTTATTCTTATTGATAATAAGGTAACAAATGACAATTTATAAAAATTAAGAGCACTCATATCCCTTCATCTGTATCTCAAAAAACCATGAAAACTAGTAAGATGCAATTTTGTGTGAATATAGACCTGCTCGTATGCCAATAAATTAAATATTAACAAAAGCGGTATGAAAGTTTAGAGTAGACACGGTGGATTGTCCTACCATATACTTACGAGAGAACCACTCCAAGTGATACACCCTGCTTTTGTTCAAACCTGGCTACTTATATATAATCAAGGACGCTGATCACGAATATGATGACCGTTTGGGCCCATAGATCTTTTCTAGCCGCTCTTTAGAGGACCGATTTTCTAGAAATCCACTGAAACCATAGTTCTCGCAACATGTTGGGATTATAGTCTGTAAATTTTGCATCAAAATGAGACCCCTCCCAGCTCTCCATGACCTTTCTTTACAAAGTTATAGAATTTACAAAAAAGGCCCTAAATGTTCATTGCCAGCTCGAAGCTATAGACAGAAAAAGGAAAAAATTAATTTAGTGCGTTTCCTGTAAATTCTATAATGTTACAAAGAAAGGTCGTGGAGAACTGGGAGGGGTCTCATTCTGATGCAAAATTTACGGACTATAATCTCAACATGTTGCGAGAACATTGCTACCGATTTCTAGAAAACTGGTTCCCTAAAGAGAGGCTAGAAAAGATCTATGGCCCAAATGGTTATCATATTTATAATCAGCGTCCTTGATTACATATAAATAGCCAGATTTGAATAAAATCAGGGTATATCGCTTGGGTTGGTTCCCTTGTTTTAATTATTGACTTTTTTTTCTAGAAAAATCTGCATTTGTATGACAAGGGGCATTCTTAAAAGATATAAAAGTTCACTTGAAAATTCCAGGAAATATTGTCTTAAGACCAAGTACTTCACAAATCAGATTTTGTGACAAATGTGAGTGTAATAGAAGAAAATTCAATAAAAATCAAGTGTAGATGATAGGAATTAATTCTATTTGAAAATAGATTTTTCAGATTCCAGACTTAACTTCTATACATACGAGTACTCGTACATATCACAAACATAAAACAATAATGTTTTGAATCCGAGTTCTGTCTGTTTTCTTGAAAAACGCTCGATCGACAGTGCTCGATTGTAAATGATCGATGTTTTAGATAGTTATCTAGTACAAGTTCTCACATGAATTTATATTACAGATGGATGACGTTCGTCACTACTCGTTGGAGCAAGAATAAAATATTGACTTATTGATTTCTTAGTAAAAACGTGCACCTAAGTTGAAATATTGGCTTTTGTCAATATCAAAAGTTTCTGAAGGTTTTTAAAGAAGTTTTCTAAAAACTGCCAAAACTAATTTTTTTTCTGATTAAAATGAGATATCTCTCAGCTTTGAACCATGCTCTGATCAAAAGTTATGGCAGTTTTATCAACCGCTTTAAAATCTGTACTATAGACTGACGCCATCATATCTTCAAAAAAGACTTATCTGAGAACACCAAACATCGTGGTTTTATTTTTTAATGAAGCCAAAACGTGATGCTACAATGTAACAGAGCAGAATTTTTGATCTTTCACTTAGTTTTGTGTAAAATCCAGTAATTCAAAAATGAGCCAAAACTTTTTCCAACTCTTATGATAGAATATTTGAAAACACGTTAAAAAAAAACAATTTTTGATTTTAGACTACAGTCCCAAGCCTTGACTACATTCTGAGACCACTAGGAAGTCTGGATCAATTGAATTGCAAGGAGGAATATTTGTTCTACAACCCTTACTTGAGTTTTACGATAACACTAAAAATTTCAGATCGAAATGTCCAGTTTTCTTAGTGTCATCCGTCTAAGATAAGACATAGATTCTCTAAATTTTATCAAGATCAAATGCTCTGGGACAAATATGGGTTTCTGACAAGAGTGCTTGCCTAATTCAGATGTTATTAAAATTTCTCACTGATTTCAATAACAGATGTTAGAAAAACTCGTGATTCTAGTTTAATATATCATTCAGTATTCTGATTTATCACAGTCTGATCAATGTTGTTTATAGTAGCAAATGCATCTACAAATGACAGTGATTTATCGTTAATAAACAATAGCCATGTTTATTTGATTTTAGTCAACGATGCTGATATGTCCTTGTATCAGAAATCATTTTTCTAATGATAGAAAGTAATCGTAATGCGTCTCCAAGTTTCATTCTAAATATTTTAATTAAGTGATCTTCTGTTAACATCGGAAGAGTTCGCCCATCAATTCGTTGTTCACGGAAATCCTAAAAGGAAAAAATATTTACTAAATGCCTTTTTATCAAAAATAAGTCAAGTTATTTATGCTGCTAATTTATTGACTTCATTACGCTCTAGTGATTGAAATCAATTTTGTTATTATGATGATAAAAACGAAAACGTTCAACTATTCTACTCCGAACAATCTGTTGCCTTCTTTTATGGTGTACTATTTGCGGCGTAAATGACGATAAAAATATCTTCTTGCCTTCCTAGTGTCCTCAAATTATTCAAATTAACAAATTTTCTGTTTACTTTTGCATAGGGTGTTTGATTGCCAAAAATTTTCTCAATAAACGTGACAACATTATTAACTGTCCAAAGGTCAAAACTTTTGGGCAATTTATTTGTAGTCATATTCTTGTTCAGTACATCAAATGATAATTGTGTAGAGAGATTCGCTTTTGTTGATGGTATATGAAAAAAAAGATGTGTTCGTTTTGACTGTAGGAACGGGATAATTGATGGCTTGTTAATGTTAACATTTGGTACAGTTGTTGGAAGTGGTAGATGTGTACTAAGAGGTTGATGATCAATTTCAATACGTCGTTCTTTAAGCGAACCACTAATTGTTGTTGTACATGCATCCGACGTCTTTTCCATTAGACGTGTAGATGCTTTAGAGAGAGTAGATGATTTAGAGAGAGTAGGTGGTTTAGAGGGAGTAGATGATTTAGAGAGAGTAGATGCTTTAGAGAGAGTTTGTTTATCAGAATCATGCACATTATCATTATCCTCTTGAACAATTACAAGTGCAGGCAGCGAGTTATCGTCTACTAAAAGTTCTAAAAGAAAAATAAGAGTTAACAGTAATATTATATATAAAAAAATTTTCGATATTACTTGGTAGTGTCAAATCTTTTTTGTCACATACATCATCTGCTCTAAAAATTAAAACATCATTATTAATCAATTGATTATAGCTACTATACTAACCACAGACATACTTATCTTCCTGAATTACAAGCGATTGAACATTTTCATTTCCAAGCCAGTTAATATATTGTTCATAATCCCGACCACCACTCTCATAAAACCTGCGAAGGTATTTCCATTTAATGTATTGTTTATGTTTTTTTATCGTATGATGAGGATATTCCTCTGATGCACGTTTACATCTTGTTTTATTACGTTTTGACATTTGAATGTTGTTCTAAAAGACAAACTGCAAAAAAAATTTTCTTTCTGATAACGTTCTTTTAATTATTATTCTCAGCTGAATATTTGAAAAAATCTAAAGAACCGATCTTAGTTTATAGCTCAAACTACTCTCTAAAAAATTTTCGTATCGTACAGAACCAAAAAGGGTATTTCCATGCCGGGATACCCGTTTTGGAATCTCAGTTTTTGGAGTAACAAATGCGATACCCCCTTTTTTTAGTTCTCTTGGAATGAGGAATATTATCAAATCCAAAAGGTGTATGCTGAAATGCCAAAATGACATTGTAAAATACGGTTAAGGGTATTTCTAATTCCACAGAACCAAATAAAAGAGGGTATCTGCATTTTTTACTCAGAGGGGAGGGGGAGGGGTATCCCGCCAGGGAAATACCCGTTTTGGGTTCTTTTTTAGAGAATACTCTCAACTTCGTTGAATGAACTCTTTCTAATTTTTAAAATTTGCTATTTCTTTAGATTAGAAGCATCCTAGAAAGATTTTTGAAATATAAATAAATTCATTCACCTTGATCTTATGGAATATCACAAATTCTTTGATTTGTACAAGATAAGAAGGATAAGTTCAATAAAAAACTAAGCGCTATAAGCGTCAATATATTGCTTTGTATGCTGACAGTTTATACTCTTAGTCACGCATCAGTAATCCTGCAGGTAAAAACGTTTTGCTTGATTGCTCAAATTGATTTGCAATGCAGAAAAAAATATTTTTTTCTCTTACAGAAATCTATGGGTGTAAAAAAAGAAAAACTCAACAAATTTTCCCTGCTAGTGCTACAATCTATTTATCGAACATTAATTTCGCATTTATATGAGATTTAATGGGAGCATCAAGTGTCTGATTTGTAATATAATAAATTAAAGTTTCTTTTGTTTTATTATAATATTTGTCTATTTTTTCCATTTTTTCTTTTTGATCTATGTCCAGTTTTGCTTGAAATTGTTCAATTTGTGTTACTTCTCTCAATTTTTGTCCATAAATATGGGCACGTTGTTTACGATAGAAACCAATTTCTCTTAAACTTTCTCGACTCGCTCGTTTTAACAGTTCTTGTTTACTTATTCTTGCATGACTTATTAATTCAGCTGCTTGACGTTCAGCTATTAATAATTGTTGAATACCTTGATCCATTTGTATTCGAGATGATGTATTAGAATGTGTCGACGACATTTCCAATTGTTAATCCAAAAATGGATGATAAAAAAGAAACTTTAAAAGAATTAATATTATCTGTCAATTTTGAAGACGTTTTTGAAACATTTTGAGAATGGTGAGCGTGCATTACATATTAACTCTTTTGTGCTAAAAATTAAAAACATACGCAACGAGAATATGTTGCCGCCCAACGCATGCATCGTCTACGTAATTAAGAAAAACTATCCGATACCACGTATACATGAAGAATTTACGAGTACATATCAAAATTCTTTTATTTTCCATTAGAAAGTTTAAATTTTGACGATTCAAAGAAAAATTAACAACCACAAGGGGCTTCAATCCTTTCTTGAATATTTTTAGAAGTGACGATCCCAGGGCTTCTAAAAACAAGAGTGTTACTACAAAAAATCCGTCAATATAGTTTACCATTAAAACATATGTTGATAAGGCGTTTTACTACTATAAAAAAAATTATAAGATTATTCTATACAGAAAATGATCGATGACATTGTTGTATCTATCGAAAAATGGCATTTCATGGGTGGGGTTGATTTAAGCTTTCAACAAACTCGTAATATTTCCATTTAAAAAATGAAAAATATTCAAGTCCTCCGTTCACAGGCCCGGTGTACTCTGTCGTAGAGAGATCGAGAATATTCTCGAACTTCTGGAATTACCATATTCAAAGAGATGCAAAGACCGTATTTTGATCGCTCGATTCATCCATCGATTTGTTAGGATGCATGGCACTTCTAGTCAATAACTGATTTCTGTTATAATTTTCTAATTTTTCCATATTGTATTTACACTTTTATGAGCTTTTCCCAACGGTAAGGGTCTATTGATAGGTTTATGAGCGATTCTAACGTTACATATGCTAAAAAAGCTTGTTAGCGTTTCTCTTGGGGAGCAAAAAGGATGAAAACTTTCGTGATCTTTATTAGGGACAGCAATCCTTCTAGCAAAAACACTGGCGCGACTATATTTCTATAGCCTTAGCTACTAACATTCTTGCCTATTCTTAACAAGAAATTAAGATTATGTAAACTCCATTTTAAGACTATGTAAATCCCACATTTCCGTTATGTAAACCTCAACACTTTCCGAGGTCTATTTTCCCCTAGGATTCTCTCTATAAAAATAAACTTCAAACTTCCATCTCTTTCGGAGAACGGACGTGTCCTTGGAAGTTTTCACAAAAGCGAAATGGAGCTATATTATTTGTATGGATTTTGTTCGAGTGTATTAACCACTGTTTCGAAATCGATATCTATGTCCCGGGTGAGGAATCCACATAAGCCTTTCACTTTACGACAGCACCGTCACTATCCAAATGAAACTATATACTCAAACTTATTGAACCCATACGCTACTAAAGTAAATAGGGAAAGGCAATGAGTTTTGTATTCGAATGGCTTTTTTTGAGTTTTGTGACGTATATGAAAAACATTTCCATTTGGCTTATCTTAAGCACTTGTCTGCCTGCAATTCAATGTTATTTTGTTAAACAAAAAGGTGCTGATGATCGAGCGATCAAAATATAGATAATATATGTATTCAACGATGCAAATATTACTATAAAAGAGAGACATTGACAAAATACAATGTAGAATGAATGGAAAATACGTGAGAATAATCATTAAATTGCTTCCCTTTTGTGTTATTAATTGCTCGGCTGATTCTAAACATCACGTATCAGGTATATAGATTTGTTGTCTTAGAATGTACAAGTTCAAAGCAAAATTGATGCTATAGATGAATGAATAGTTGTTTGCTCTATATCAGTCACTGGGCTCTACTGGCCTACTCATTTTCTCTTTATCTTATATATTGTAGAATCTGAATATTGTTTTCTTTTGACACAATATTCGTTTGATGCTATATGAATGAAAATTGATGGAAGAGGAACATCGTGATTAAAGATATAGAATTTTAATTATCGGGTGACATTGTATACTATAATGTTAAAGTATACAGCATATTCAATATCTGAATTGCTTCCTACATTGGATATTTCTTGGCCTAGACAGCTATCGCAACACCATTTTTATAAATGATAATTCGAAGAAGTTTTCACTGTTTTGTTCAATTTATTCGATGAATTAGATTAAAAAAATTGAAAGATCAGTTGCTAAACTTTAAAATACTAGTAGTTTTAAGCTTTTAAACTAGCCAATAAAGGAATGAACTCATTACATCTATAATGCATGTCATACCGTAATGGACATGCAGAGTTTCATAGTCAAAAACAAATTTAATCATTATAAATTTTAGAAGAAAATTACACTAAAGTATAGTCTTATTATAAAATGCTAAGAGAAATTCGAAAAACTAAGAGTCATATACAGATCTTGTTTAAGTCCTAGATAAGAGATAGTAACTTATTGAACCTATTTTAGTTCAAATTTATTCTCAATTATCAAAAAGACAATTTTTTTTACACAGGCGAGCTGAGAAATTTCAGTTTAAAATCAATGTATACAGTCGACATGTCTTTATTGATTAGTGTAAAAAGAAAAAAGCAGAACGATTATTTACAGGTAGTGCCATACACTATGAATCTTAAATTATATTCAAATACTTGTCATCTTTTGTTAATGTTAAGAATTAAGAAACACAAATACATATATTTCGCTCGGTTTTTTTTTGTTTTGTTAGACAGCATCGCGAATTGTAGTTTATACTCACACACATACATAAAGCGAAATCCAGCAATAGCCCTCTTTAATGTATTCATATGCTTTTTCTTTTCTCTTCGAAGAAGAACCAACATCAGATCACAAATTTATTGTCCTCCACCATATTTCTTTCTTTCTTTAATAATCTTTCTCATGACATAGAATGGAGAGAGAACGAACTTTATAAAAACATTGTCGCATATATATACAGCTATATATAACTAAATTTTCTTTTTTTTTTTATTTCTTCTCTCTGCCATCGAACTATCATCAAGATATTTTGTATCACAGGTACCATTGCCACTGGTAGCATGTACAAACATTGAATAGTGATGAAGTGAATTTAATCAAATTCTTTTCATTTCGATTGATTCATTTATAGAAACGAACGAAAAAAGAAAAATTTTTTAAGTGCTTCTTCCATCAATAACAACCTCAAAAGTATTTTTCTCTTCTTCTTCTTTTCAGGTGTATAATATGTGTGTGTGTGTGTGTGTATGTGCGATTCCATTCCATTCAACTGAAGACGATGACGACAATCATCATCATCATCATCATTTCACATCATATTCCTGAGATTTTCGTTTTTACACGACATACAGAGAGTGCACCTGAAGAAGAAAGGATGAAATCGTCTGTGTGTCATCGAAATTGATCGGGAGCAAATGAAATCAGTATCTAAACAAATAAAAAAAAAAAGAAAGAGAGAAAAACTTTAATCAGAAGAATGACAAGTTAAACACTTACAAAAAAAAAACGTACACCATGATCATCTTTTTTTTTATTCTTCATTTTTTTTCACTCTCTATTCAATCTGCGAAGGGAATATGATTGTCTCTAAAAAGTATATTTGACTAGAAACGAAGAGTGGATCAAAGGAGAAGAAAAAAAAACAACATTGAAAAACAGGAGAAAAAAAAAATGTTGTCAAAAAGTAAACTATGATCGTCATTTCAACAAAACGACGATACTATCAGCAGCAGCATCATCGAGAAATTAAATACCATCCAAAATGAGGCTTAAACCAAAAGCAGCAAAACGAGTACCAATCAATAGTGAGTATCGTTTGATCCATTGTGTGATGAGTTATTAAACAAAGTGTTAATAGAGACAGGAAGTAAACATTGTATGATAACACGTTGTTTATGTGTGTGTATAAAAGATATGTCATTTGACTAATCCTAGAGTCAAGATGGAAAACAAACATATGTCATTCTATTAGTACAAATTATACGACCACTTTGTTTTTAGCGACATAATAACTAAGCAACAAATACTTTATTCAGAAAATAAGGAATAGTTTATTTGTAAATTTGAGTGATTTCCTTGGACTTGTGCTTGTATTTCATAATCTTTACTTAGCAAAAGCGAAAATTAGATATTTTCTTTTTCATTGTTGCCAAGTTGAAACACTAATCATGTCTGAGACTATTTCCATGCTTCATGATTTCAATTTATACAAAAGATTAAAACTTATTTTGACAGTTAAATTATAAGAAAATGATATTTTTACTGGATAAAGCCAACTTTCTTTCTATTGTAAACAATGCTGTTAAATAATTTTCATCTAATTTTGAAAATCTTTTCATCATCTTTCGATTGCGTTTTTCTTTTTGAATTTTTTTGAAATATCGTATGGAAATTTTCACGCTTAAGAACAACACAACATGAAACAGTTGAAAACAGATTTATTTATTACACACTATTTTTTTTTGTGTCATTCTTAAAAATATTTTCTTATGCGATTTCACACTTTTCGTTTATATATCATTAGCATATAAAACCAGAAGTGTTAATATCCTATATGAACATGTTTTTCTTCTTCTTGAGTATCATAAAATGTTCGATGAACTTCAGGTATAGTGAATTCCTTTTTATCCACCATTTTAGCACTTCTTCTTATACCTGAATGTTCATACATATCTATTGTTATCTGTAGAGGTATTCTATAAGAGTGCCAAAACGGCAAATAATTAAAATATGAGATACTACTATTTGAGTGGTGTTCAAACTGACAATCTTCTCACGCTGTGTGATGTCGATTTAATGAAACTATGTTACTGCTGACGCCATTTCACATGATAGAAGAAAAAGAAGACGCTACATTCCTCATTTAAATCTGTCACCATAATTAACAAGAAATTCGTGTAGTCCGTTTGTGTACGACATTACTAAGTTTTCTTTTCTGTTGAATGAAAAATGGTGAATTTAAATCAAGAAAAGGTATTCATTGTTATTTTTATTTCAGAACTAAAGTGAAGAGCTTCAGGGCTTGTGTATGTGTGTCTGTGACTATATTCATCTTCCGTGAAATTATATTTATTGTTCTGCGAGATGAGCGAAGCCATTGAATTGGATCGATTTCACCCCTATTCATGTTTCGTCAACGAGATGGGATTGAGATGAAATATATATACAGAGAGAGTGCTATGCCCTTTACCCTCGTAATAGAGATAGTTATGATAAATAGAGTGAAAGAGAGAAAATAATTGAAAATTCCAGAACGAAGATAACTAGTCTCTCTCTCTCTCTCTCTCTTATTCACAATAAAAAGAAGAAAGGTAGATAAATAGATTAGAGTAGAAACTAAAGTTAAAAAATCATGTAATTTATAGTTATGGTTTTAATAACAGAAACTTGAATGAACTAGAGCCTACTAATCGTTCTGCAGAAATTGACTTGATACTTAAAATTTCTTTATTATCGACAAATTTACTCGATAGTGTAGTATTTGTCTTTTTTTTTGTTGAAAGAAAGTAAATATTTCTTGTAAACATATCTTTATTTGCAGACAAAAACACGATCGAAAAGATGTTCACATTTATCTCTATTGTCATTTTCAAACAAAACCAATCATGTTGATCATAAATAAACATAGTAACGATGAGATAAAATTTTCTACATCTAGTCTATTGTATTCAAATTAAAAACTATAAGAGACAAAGCTAAAGTGGAAATATGATTCTTCTCATAAAAAACATTTTTTGTAAATTTATGCGAGATCAATTATATTTTAATTTTTTTTTCTTTTTCTAACAAAAGATTTGTTCGTGTCGTCTACCTTTGATTAGACTGATAGAATTTATATCTCTCCGTCTCTATGTAACCCTGAATATATTTTCTTTTACATAATACGGCACTTAATACACTCCACTAAATATATTAGAGATAGATCTCTTTATTTTCATTTTATTTTCTTGTCGATATCGAACGAGCGATTTGTGTGAAGCGAGATGATGAGAATGAACAAATATTGACAAAATAAAAAAAACGTTAGATGGGAATAAAGATGATATTGATGATGTCGTTTTTACTTCGAAATTCTATGGATGTACACTTATCGTTGAGATATACATATTTATCCTCCTATCCACGTTAGAATAAAGAGAGAATATTATCTTCGCGTTCGTTTTTTGTTGACTTAGTAGAGGATTACAATGTTCGACGGTTTTTTTTTTTAAACATAAACGATGATCATAAAAAACATCAAGTAAAAGTGCCAGCTTTCTTACATGTGTATACTTTAGTAGAATAAAGAAGAAAAACTAAAAAAAACGTTTTATCATATCTTTTTGAGCTCATATAAAGCTAATTTTCAGTATAGTAACATTTGTCTTCATAAAATTGTATATCAACTACAAGGTAGGAACATCGTTCGTTCATTACACAGGTGACTTGAAGCCTCTGTACTTACTTAAACAAGTAGATATATGCTAGAGCTGCGTATGGACTGAGCTTGCAACGTACTAGTGTGCAACTACGATCATTCACTTCCAGGCTGGGCGAGTCTGAGTCCGGACTGAAGATTTTTTCGAAAAACTCAGGCTCGAACTTGAGTTTTTGTGTTTCGGATCCGATGGATTCAAGTTTTTACATAAATTAACAGAAACATTTTCAATATCAGTAATGGGATATGTAACAGAAGTTTACTTATGTAACTTTTTCTGTTATAATAAGATTGGTGTGTTGTAGGAGAAAAGAAACATAAATAACGACAGTTAAAAATGTTTGAAAATTTATCGGACTCGAGATGGACTCGGTACTCCATGGACTCGCCCAGTCCTGATACCCTCGATTTTTGCTTTATTTTTTTCATATACTATAGAAAAATATAGTGCTAATATTTTTTTTTCCAGTTTTTAAGATGGAAATATTTCATCGTGCAGTCCACGAAGTCAATGAACTAGACTGATCCGGTAAAAGTTTGTATACTTGAACTGGACTATAGACTAAAAGTTTGAATTTTATACCAAGGTCTAATGTATACCTCGAAAAACTAAATACAATCGATCTTTTTGTAAGTCCAAATCATCACTGAATGTTGTGTGTATCGCCCTTTTATCATTCAAAACTTCAATTAAGCTATTTTGCTGAATACAAGGTTACTACTGATATTTCTTCCTCGAAAAAACTGTCCACATAACTTTCTCGTGAATCAATTTTTATCATCTCTATTTTTTCCTATATATGGTGAATAGTTATTGTCTCTTGATTATCTTCAGATAAGATTGATAAACAAAAATGCGAGTGTTTGGAAATTTAGGAAACAACAAAAAAAAATCAATCAGTAAACAAATATTTATCGATAAATCTTTAATTCTTAAAAGTGTGCAAGTGGTCATAAATTACTCTATGTAATGATGATAAGAGCATAGCTATAAAACTGAAGAGAAAAATCCTAAAGTTTAAAATTATAACTTAGACAATCAATTTCAACAGAGAGAATCATATTCTAACATATAATTATAGACGAAATTTTCGTCTTGTTTATAGTGGAAATGCGTATTCGTTTTTTTTCTTCTTCTCTCTTTCATGTTTTAAAATATAGTAACTACTCAACTCAGATATGTATAAAGTGACAAACAGCATGCTGATTATGATGATGATCGAACAAAAATGTCTATGTGAACAAACCCTTGCAGCGATTTTTCTCAGAAAAGAGAGTAGATAATTGAGTCTACGATAGGCAATATTTATTTCATGCTGATGAAAGACAGAGAGAGAAAAAAGTAACTGACATATCATTGGTCGAAATGAATCGGAAGCTTCTTTTTTTTCTTTCGTCTACACATATATATATAATAATATGTATATAGTTGAAATTTTCGTTCTGTTGTACAGGTGAATTGAACTTGTAAAAGATTATCATCGTAAGAATGGAAAAGAACCTACACATTTTTTCAGATTTCTCATTCTTGAATGATATGTGACACATTATTCTCATAAAATGAAAACAATATCGTCAGAAACGAAAAATGAAACAAAGAGAGATGAAGAAAAAGAACATACACTATACACAAATCGATATTTAAAGTCAACGCATAAATAAAAGCAAAACTTTTTTTTTAGATAGGAGAATGTAGAAACATATTTTCGTGTCATTTTTCTCTTCATAGAATAAGAAGAGAAGGAAAAGAAAATATGAAGGCACGAGAGGTTATAATGATATACCAAATGATTTTGTTGTCGAATTGCATGCATACGTTTCTCTTTATCTCTCTTATTGGCATTCGCAGGAATATACGACGAGGACAATGAAATAAGAGTGACACACACACATACACATATATATATATATATAGTCAGTATGAGATAAAAGATAACAAAAAACACACCTATACGCGTCTACACACATCGCATAGACTCAATTTTTTATCATAAATCAATATTAAATTAAATGTTCATTTTCAAAGAAAATCAATGAAAAGTAAGTTGAACAACAATAGTAGTGAAGAAATTAATTTTTTCCATTTGTATTAGACTATTTTGAATAAAAAAAAAACCATTGTTCCAAGAAACGACTAGAACGAATTTATTGCTTGACAAAATTTTATTTATAATTCAAATCGTGTTTTTTTTTTTAAGAACTCTAAGGAACGGATCAATCCTTAATTGGTTAGTCTAATTATTAGATATTTTAACTGAATGGCAACATAAAGTAATCTCACACTTCGACATATCATACTGAATTCAGTAAAATATATTTCGTGTGGAGATTTTAAATCATTGTGTTTTACATTTGTATTGAATGAGCACGATTTGATTATGACACTCACTTTTTATCCTGCTTGTGAATCAATCATACCGCTCTTTCTATCTCTGTCTCACTCTAAATGTGGGTAATTTTTTTGAGTATCTTTCTGTCTCTCAAACATACCGCGCAGTTTTCACTTAAATTTATCATTCGTTGTCTATCGTTCATATCTTGGCATCAGACGCTTATATGCACCAAATGGGAAGAAAAAAGAAAAATTTAATTATGAACGACACGGCACCATGCGCAAAAAGATCAACATGTTCAATTGTCACTTTATTTAAAATATGAATAGAGAGACGATCGTTGTGTTTTTAACAAGACAGCAACAATTTTTTTTTTAAAAATTCTCATTACAGATAATCGACCTTTCATTTTAATAAAATGGATCCTTTTTGAGAAGAAAAACACTTTACAGATCGTTTGTATGTGTTCTATGGATATCGAAATGGACATGCATACAGACTCATATATATTGGTTGACTCACGTTTTGGACAATAGAAAAGTTAATGAGGTCGTCGTTTTCGTGTTTTCTAATGTATTTTAAATTTTATAGTCAATCAATAGAAGCATGTTCATTCGTTTATCGTCAGACAAGATAAATACTTTTTGATGTCTTGTATTAAGTACAATGATAGAGAAAAAAAATCGTAAAAGTGTTAAGAAATTTATTGTACAAATCATTAATTGGTATCTGTCTTTTCATTTAGAACCGACAATAACATCACCCATCACTATTCAAGCAAGATCGACACCAACATTGTCTTCTCCATTAATAAATCGTCTCAATTCTGATAATGATGAAAATGATTATACAAGTAAATCCTTGACAAAATTATTACTACCAAAAACAATTGATGGAAAACAGACAATTTTAACACGACATGTTGAAAGTGATCGTAAACGACGAAATGATCTGACCACAACAACAAATAACAAGAAAATAATGAGATGTTCAAACACTTCAAGGACAAAAACTCACGATGAAGAGAATAATGAAGAAGAACATAAACAAGATGTCGATAACGAGATAAGCGAAAGAGAAGGAATAAATGATAATGGTATGTGCATATCCCCACATACATGTATGATACACGCTTCCATTGATATATAGATATAATTGAATATTATGTGTCGTCTTTTTTTTCTCTCTCTCTTTTTCATATTCGTCAGTTGAACAAACGATTGATGTCAATGAAAATGAAAATGGATCATTGGACGAAAATTTTACAACTAATGATCAACAAAGTGGAACAAATGTAATGCTCAATATGGAGCACATTTATCAGAAAAATAATGGGTATGATAAAAACATCTAAAAAAATTGACGTTTTAACAGTCAGTTGCTCGTGAGATAAAAGTAAAAGAAAGTCATGTTTTTTAAAAGATAAGACCACAGATAGCCTTTATTTTCTGCAATAATCATTAAGATCTATATATTAGTCAATAATAATAGATAAATCTGATAGAAAGTTTAAATTATCTAAATGATGAAGAATACGTAGTTTTAGCATCGATTTAACGGCACACATCATACATCTTACTGTTTTTCGAAAGTTAATCTCAGTTAGTTTTGATAATATTATTTATCCATAGTTCAATAATTTATTTTCATTGTTTCTCATTGCCTGTTTATTCGATTGTGTTCAAATCAGACTTGTAACTCATTTGTCGTTTTATCAAATCTATATTTTCACGTCTTTTTTCTTTTCTGATTAAGTGATATCAAAGTATATCAATTTTCTCTAGAATCTATTGATCACGCTCATATTTATTTGTTGAAAAAGAAAGCTGTTATTAGGGTTATCGTTTGACAGAGAATTGTATAATGATTTAAATCATGTTATTCAAGCTGAGAGAACGCCGTAGGTTAATAATAAATGTGTTCATTTCCTCTCTCTCTGAATTAAATATGTGACATAAACAATCTCTGAGATTGTTATTTATTCTTATTTTTTTACTGGTCACTTTTTTTCCCCCTCATTAAAGAAATTAACAGCAAAATTTTGCCTAAAGGAGACAATAAAGAATTTAAAAGACAAACTGTTAATTATATTTCTTTTATGTGTATACTCTATGTTAGTATAATTCAAAAATGTTATTTTTATTATTATTATGGTGATGATGATGAAATTTCTTCTTTCTATCAGACCTTATGGCATAAGAAAATAGACTCTAGCAGAGTATCTTTTTTTTTTTTGAATATATTTGTAAATTGCATAATTTACTATTTTTTCACGCACGCACTGATTGTTTATGAAAAAATCTTTTTTTTCTTTTCCTAGTATAGCGATGTCTTGAAATGAACCTCACTAATAATTTATTATTAATCAGTCAAACTTTAATTTAGATATATGTTGTCTCTGTATTTCTATATTTAAATGCGATAGTTTCTTGTAAATGATAGGGCTATGATAAAAAAAGAAAAGAAACAAAAACAATTTTTTTAACGGAAGAGAAAAATCTCTTTTTCTATACTTTTTTTAAAATTTTGAATAAGAAATAAAAGTCAAAAGACAAACCATACTGAGGAAAGAATAAGACTTATATTTAATGTTCGAATGTTAAACTATCCACTCCACCGGAAACAGAAAAAATCATGCTACTTAAACGGGTTTCCGATTTCAAGTTTAGAATAAATGTAGACTAACTCAAAGTAATTTAATCGCATTTGTCGTGAATTTTACGCACATTTTTCTTTTTTGAGAAAGAACGGAAATACTTACAATCTTAAATCAGCTGAAGTCTAATCGTATGCGAAGTCACTTGTGTTTTCAGGGAACACTCCAGTTAAACCAGTTTTATATTGCAACTATCGGTAAAACAGAGTGAAACATAACTAAAGTTTTTAACGAGTTTGTTCTGCTTTTTCCGTATTGTTGGGGTCATTGCTATTTTCTAATGCATATAAGTGACATCAGACATTTAAATTAGAAAGACCTCATAAAAACTTTCATAAACACAAAATATCAGTCTAAGTGTGAGTTAATGTCGCTCTTTATGTATAGTTTTGAACACGTTTATTTTTAATCAACTTTTGTAGACAACAAAATGAATACATAATATTTTCAAACTTAGTTTAAAGGTGACTTGAGAAAATTTCTTTTTTCTTCATACATACGCGTATGTGTTTCAACACAAGTTTTCGTAAAAATAAACGCAAATAAAAGTTATCTATAAAATAAATACGTTTAAGCGACTATCAAACTCGAAACTGAGGATAATTACAATAAAAATCTTAAATATTGCCCTATGTTTCCATTAATGATATTGAAGGTGAACTGGAAGTACATAATGACCTTATAAACCGAAGAATAAGCTGAAATTTTTATTGCTAGATTCTTTAAAAACATCAGTAGTTTAAAACCCGTTTGAACACATTCTTAATTCTAGAGCACAATGATCAAATTTGTTCTACATTTTAAACGCATTTGAACAATGAAAATGGACAAATAAGGAATTTATAAATATTCTTCTGGAATATGCTCATTTTTTCATTGACTAATTACTTTGCCCGAATATTCTTTACCTCTCTGTGATTGAACTGTTTGAGTAATAGTATGATCAATATGAACGGTATAATGACGACACGGAGCAATGGTAATAATTGTGAAACAGTTTCTATAAAAGAATTTAACTTTCATTCATCAGTAATTTTTTTGTCAATAATTTGTTAGCATGGAGTATACTAAAAATTAAACAAGATCTATGTTATTATCATTTAATATCTTCTAGAAACAAAGTAATACAAATACTACTCTGATGTTAAATACAAGTAAAGACATTTTTTTGCTTTATGTGTGTTAGTGTGCGTTTTAAATTAGAAAATTAGTTTAAATGTGAAAAAGCTCTGCTCTCATTTTTATGAGTTTTCAATTTCGAAGGTGTTTGAAAAACATGTTGAATTTTGTGTCACATAAATGGAGCAATGTATAATACTGTACACGTCCATATTTTTGCTAACTTTGAGTTATGTTTTCTAGAGTATTTCAACAGGACAATGAAAGTATAGAATCAATGAATGGTGAAAATTCTACTCATCATCAGGTATAGAATAATTGTATATTATGAAATATAATAATCTCGTTCGTCTATCTCATCTTTCTTTAGAACGGAAATGAAAATCATGTTTCAAATTCAAGTGGAAGTGAATGTGAAAATCGTCTATATTCATGCAACGATTGTGGGAAAAGTTTTCAAACGTCCAGTGGTTTAAAACAACATCGAAATATCCATTCAAGTGTCAAACCGTGGAAATGCGAAGTAAGCTAGATAGACAAATTAGCTCTATTTAGTTTCATAGGAATCTATCCATAAATAGCAAATCAGTGCATCCTATCCTAGTGCATTTCATTGATTCAGAATTTTCAATTTCTTCTAGTATTGTCCAAAGAGTTACACTCAGTTTTCAAATCTATGCCGTCATAAACGTTCACATGCAAATGCACGTACACAAATCGAATGTAAAGGGTGTGGACAGTCGTTCCAGAGTCATGTCGCTTTGAATAAACATCGGTAAGTTTAATCGTTTGTCATCTTAAAATCCATATTGAGAAGCATACGTTGATTGTTTAGGAGTTCTTGCAAAGAAACAAATTTAGCAGCAACAGCTTCATCTCAAAAATTGTCCTCATCAAGTACAACATCCACAACGCTTACGGTGTCTTCAGCTACAACAAAACCAACAGTTAACTTGAATGGAAATGTATGGCCGTCGTTAGAAAATGGTTTCTCCTATTTTCCATTTTTACCTCCAACATTCACTGAGAAAACATTAAAAACTCATTCACAATCATCAGCGTCCACACCATCATTAATTCCTGTAACTTTACCTTGTATGCCAACACAGTTTACAATAAATACAATGGCTCAAGTAGCGTTAAATAACCGAGACAGAGATTCTTCATCTTCCAATTGTAATAGTAGTTCAGTATCATCTAAATCACCTGTATCCTCCTCATCAGCGTGTTCAACATCTGTAAAACGAAACAATAAAGGAAATCTATTATCAACAACTATAACAAGCGAACCTATCGATTTATCAAAATGTGTTGTTACTAATTCAAAACGACAACGTCATTGTTCAAGTGGTAGTGATAATTCGTCACCATCACTCATTTCAGAAACAACCAGTTGTAACAATAATGAGCCTCTCGATTATTCACTTAAACGAACGGAAGAATGTACACAAAGAATAACACACGTATTCGGTGGTGATGACTCAACTTTTTCTAAAACAAAACAAATTACAAAATTATCACGACACTCAATATCCACGTCGGCAGTACGAGGAGCCAATGACAAACTGGCATCGATAGATGATGAGATAAAAGCTACTGTATGTAACATTCCATTAAAAGATATGTCGGAGAATCGAATAGCAACATCAGATACACATCGTCCACCTATTCCCTCTACGTCCAGTCCACCATCGACACCACCATTAACTCATAAACACCACCATCATACAAGCAGCAGCTCAACATCGCGAAATCGTGATCGATATTCTTGCTCATACTGTGCAAAAGCGTTTCCAAGATCAGCCAATTTAACTCGACATCTAAGAACTCATACAGGTAATAGATTAGTCTCTATAAATTATGAATTTTAACCATTTATATCTTCTCTGTACTGTTCCTACTGATACTACATTTTTAATCGACCCACTGCTCTCTACAATTTCGTTCGTTATTTCTTTTTTAGGCGAGCAGCCCTATCGTTGTCGATATTGCGATCGATCATTTTCCATATCCTCTAATTTACAACGTCACATTAGAAACATTCATAAACGAGAACGACCATTTCGTTGTACTTTTTGTGACAAATGTTTTGGACAACAAACAAATCTTGATAGGTCTGTATATACTAATGTTTTTCGAAACTAGTAGTGTTATTTTTCTTTTATTATAGACATATGAAGAAACATATTTCCGGTAATGATAATAGTTTAACATTAATGCAAGCTGCTTATTCATCGATGAGAAAGAGTACAGATGACAATACATTGAATCAAAGTAACAATATTAATAATAATTCAGAAGCGTCTTCTGATGAGAGTATTGAAAGTGAAGAAGATTCGTCAGTAGATGAATATTCTAATAATTATTTACATATTGATTCAACACCAACAGCTACTTCATCATCGAATTAGATCATTTTTTTCGTTAAACTATAGACCATTTTTGATAACTGGGTTTGGTGCTCTATTGATATACATTTTCACCATGGTGCTCATTTTTTCTATTTCGAAAAGAATTCTTCTGATACATTCCATATAATTCTACTTTGATAAAATTGTGTATAGTCTCTCCATCTATTAGCCAAAATTCTTTAACTGTGATTGCCATTTTACCGATAATGTATTATTTTTTACATAGATACGAAAAAATCTTAGTTTGAAATTAAACTGATAATCATTGGCAGTTTTGATGTTAACGTTATAATACTCGTAGATCTTTTTTTCTTGAGAAGATCAAATTTTATATTGCAAGAAATGAAGAATAACCATTCCACTTCTTTTGATTTCTTTTTTGTCCGGTGTGTGCCAGATCTATTCCTAATAGAATATGTGATAGTAGAGAAACTTACCGCCTTCTTTGTTCATTTTTGTGTGTTGTTAAAATTGAAAACTTTTGCCATGATGTTTTTTTCGGATGAAACAAAAACTTTGTATAAATGAAATAATCCACATTATCTGTTTTCTTTTTCTTACTTAATTTTGACTTTTAGTGTATAACTTTGTTCGCGAAAATCGTACAAACAAAAAAACTCAGGCCACTATCTTATGAGAATGATTATCTTATATATATAGTTACGTTTTTTCAAAATTATTTTGTTTTTTCTTAATTTCTTTTATTATTTCCTTATTATCTGTCTTAAAATTTTTTTTTATATAACCATTGTTTTTTGTTTTCTAAACTAGAATTTCACAATGTTTCGAAAAAGAAAAAGCTCGACGAAAATATAATAATCAACATGCATCTGAACCGTACTAAAAAATATAAAATCTAGATCAATGTTTCTAGATATAGAAATAAGCTAAAATATTTACTTAAATCGCTACAATCTACTATTTTGGATAAATAGGTTCACACGATAGTATTCATTGATATGTGAATGTTTTGTTTAGATGACATATCACCTGGTGAATCAAACATAAGTTAAGGAGATCGAATCTAGTAATCGACGAACAATGATGTCTATCTTTCGGGTCTGAATAAAATCTATGAAGACCAACAAACTGTGTATTGCTGAGTTTGTCGTTAAACTATATACTTTAAAAACACTGATATAATAAGATATCAGTGCGTACCTTTGCTTATCATTAATATTTGAATAAAAATGATGAAATATTACCAGAAATTTTTTTATATGAAGAGAATTTAAAATTGCTTGACGACTACGACCTATTTTTATATACTGTATGAGACTATTATACGATCTCCAAACGTACAGAAACTAGAGAAGTACCACTCAGAGTTTTTAAACAAATAATACAGATTTTCGCTTAAATTATATGATAGATGTCGTTGTCTGCTAGTAGATGAATAGATTTTATATCATCATTCATTTTTTGACGTTGTATAATATACAACGTTAAAATAATGTATAATATAATATAAAAACGTAAGTTATAATATCTAAAATACTGACATAATATGAGTATTTTAGATATCACTAGAGAGCGTATGAAACTGATGAGATTTTAAAACTGAACTCTTCCAAGGGCCCCTCCGCGCAGGTCCGCTCACTATTACATTTAGTATTAGCCGCAAAAATTTCACTTTGCCCATCGTGTAGAGCATCAAAAATAACCTAAAGTTCTCGCTTACGCTTTTTGAAAAAACGTGTGAAAAGTGGTTTTCTAGACAACTCAAGTTTTTTGTGAGGGTGAAACCGAAGTCGGCGAAAATGAACGAAACATTGCATAATTATACCTCAAATTGTAGCTCTTGGCGAGTTGATTCTAATGGTTAAGAAAGTCGGTCTCGATCTAACTTTACATTCGAGTGGTACTCAATTTACTTGAAAAATTCCTGAAGTTTGAGCTCGATTTTCTCCTAAACGCTGCGAAAATTTTTCGATATTTTTTTAGAATAGGATCTACTTAATAGGATCTATAACTTTGCCAGTACAACTATCCTCGACACTTTACATTTTTCACCCTCAGTTTTTCAGAAAATCCGTTAAAACCTTACCTCATGAAAAGAAAATTGAGCTATTATAACTCTATATTCCTGTTCAGCATGAAGAATTCAATGTATTTCAACGTTTTCTGAGGCTTCTTTGTATTTCCGTACCGCAGTTTTCTAAGAGGATTTCTGGAAAACTGAGGGTGAAAAATGGAAAGTGTCGAGGACAGTTGTATGGGCAAAGTTATCGATCTTATTAAGTAGATCTTATCCTTAAAAAATTTCGAAAAATGTTCGCAGCGTTTAGGAGAAAATCGAGGTCATGTTTTTCCTATATTTCAAAATTTTGCGTTATTCTGTTCCTTAAAATGTTAAATCATTATCTTATCTACCTATTTAACTCTTAATAATCGCAATCTGATGGTAAAAACAAATGAATAATTAAGATGTGCAACAAATAAAGTTAAGTTTTCATCATTTATCCTTTAATAACAATTACATTCAATATTTCGAATTACTATACAATTATACTGCAATTATACTATTACACAGACATCAGAATATTAGTTATGGTAAGACTAGTTGTTTAAAAGATAAAAAAGGTAAACACCTTTGTATGCAAATGACATCTCTTTTCAAACTGATCAGTATATTTGTTTGACTCTGAATCAATAACACGGAATATGGAAAAAAATCATTTGCAATTTTCTCTCTGTCTTAATGATATATTTTTTATGAATAAGAAAAAGAGAGAAAGAAAATTTATGAAAATCAACATCACGACCCGTAGCATCATAGAAAAAAAAAACATGTTTTTTTCAACGTTAGATTGAGTATCATTAAAAAAAAGAAAAGAAAATCCGTAAGTACTCTAGTAAACGGTCTTATTTATATATTTACTAATAAAATATTGTTTGAAGAGCATAATACTTGTGTGTACAATCTGATCTAGTTACGCTGTATAAGAGAAAAATTGTGAAAAAGGGCTACAATACTACCGTGAAGTTGTGGATGATAAATATAGATTTTTCGTTTCTTCGTTTAATGTTATTTTAGTCATGGTCAGAAAATGACTCTAATGACCTAATTGCTGACAGAGAGTAAATTAAAAAATATATTGGTTGTTTTTTTTCTAGAAAGAAAGAAAAAAAATGTATTAACGAAAGCATATCGCAATAGTCATCATTTCAGAACGCTGACAAAAATTGAAATGATAACATCGGATTTTGGTGAGTATCAATCAGAAAATATCGAAACTGAACTGTTTGTTATAAAAGTTTCAGTAAACTACCCAGTACACGTTTTGTTTTGCGCGATGTACTAATATTTATTTTTGGAAAATAATAAGATGTTGTTCGTTAATGAGACGACTCTCTTGCCATGTATAAGGTCGAGATGCCTGCTACACAAAAAGTACCATAGTGGGCACCGGCAAAGAGCCTATTTAAAAAGAAATAATTAAAAGGTGCCTTGATTATGTAAAAATATGTCGTCAGAGTATCCTCTTCGGTAGTCAGATACCAAACTATACTATACCAGGATACTTGGACAAGTACCCAAAAGCTACTCAATTACCTAAAAATTTCTCGAATATTTGTAAGATTCAGAGGTGGGCAAATTCATGTCCGGGCTTGAAGCTGAGATTGTAGCGATTTAAGTAAATATTTTAGCTTATTTCTATATCTAGAAACATTGATCTAGATTTTATATTTTTTAGTACGGTTCAAGCCCGGACATGAATTCTGTTGACGGACTTGACTTTGGAGTTGAAAATTTTTTTATCACGTCCGTTTGAAGTCTAAGGAGTTAAAATCTACTACATTCAACAACGGAATGAGTATAATAGAGTTAATCTGATACTTAATTTATTAATTTATTTTTTTCAAACATCCATCAATGTATCGATAAAGTTTATTTACCCATCTCATATTTACTAAACCCAAAGAAGTTCTGCTCGGCTTCATTCTCGTGAACCCTAGGAAAGTGTTTAATGGACACAAGATACATTAGTTTAGTAAAACAATTATCAAAATAGTTTGAAATCCGTTTTTTAAGAGAATATTCCGAAGCAATAAGAAAAGTGAAACTTTATACTCCAAAATGGTGGGAGTTAATGTTTTTTTACAGATTACTACTTACAGACCGGCAAATATTACGCTACTAGAAATATAATAATTAATTAGACTACGACGATTGAAGAGGCCCTCATAAGTTCAATTCGAACCGAAACTGTTCCGTCTATAGTTTTGCCATATAAAAGAACTAAACTTGGTATCAGTTTGAACTTGGAACATCAATGTGATAAAGATTTTATTCTGATAAAGACGTTTCTAATTCTCGATTCAGATGACGAGCACGAACTAGAAGCTTACAAATCCTATACATCTGATGTTTCGATGTTAGATGATGACGAATGTAAACGAATATTGGCCGTCATTCAACGTGATTTTGAATTACGTCAACAAGAAAGTCGACGAATATCGTAGGTATTATTTATATAAAAGCAATTCAGACCTGACAGTTTTATTTGTTTTTCATATTATTGAAGTGATATACAAAAATATATCACACGAGAAGCTGAACGTACAAAGTATTTGGCGGAACCAAAATCTTTTAATAATGAACGATGTATTCGATGTTACAGATATTTCAGAATATTACTTAATCCAAAAGAGACTTGTGCAGTATGTAACTTGTTCGTATGTCACAATTGTTCAATATTGAATAAAAAGAAAGGTGCATGGACCTGCAAATTATGTGAAAAAATCAAGTACGTTTTTGATCTTTGTGTAAGATAACATTAGATCTAAACTGTGAGTTAGAACAGCGCATCTCGTCTCTAATTCTTCCCGTTCTACTCTCCGTTCAGTTCGACATTCAGTCGGCAGCTAACTAAGACTGATTTCCAATTAAAATTTGATTTTACAGGAAATAGGCTATGTTATGATCTATAAAATTGACGCAAACTTTGGTATAAAAAGGCTACACGAATTCTTTAAAGCTCGATAGGAACGCCCTGTTTTCTTTATGAAACCCACTAACACATGCTTATGTTAACTTTGTATTCTTTTTAACTCGAATGATGTTTCTTGATTTAGCAATCCTATATTTAATACTTCTTGCCTATAGTGGTGATATACACTGTAATGTTGGAAATTATTTATAGAAAATGCTCGGCGATATTCAAAAAGTCCATATATAAATTTCCTGAGGGTTTTCTAGATTCTAGAAAATCGAATTTACAAGAAACTTCGACCTCGTATTTTCTATAAATAATTCCCAAGATTCTTGAAATTCGAAGCCGATTTTCCAACATTTTAGAAATTCGATGTGGACTTTCAAGAATTATGGGAATTATTTATAGAAAATCGACACCGAACTTTCATATTTTTGGAAATTCTTCGGCGATTTTCTGAATAAAATGAAAATTCAATTTATAGAAAATCGAAAATCAGAAATTTATAGAAAGCCAGAAAATCGACAGGGAATTTATAAAAGTCAGAAAATCGCCTTTCGAAATCGATTTTCTATAAATCAGAAATTAATTCCAAATTACAGTGTATTTACTAAATATGCGGCTGTAATGTACACTCTATTTTAGAGAATTCGAACGTTGCTCATCAGATTGGTTCTATGCTCAAACACGTCAGAAATATAAGCGTTGTGGTAGTGCAAAAATTGTTCGAGATCTATACAAGCGTGAAAAAGAAATATGTAAGTGTACTTTCTCTTGTTTAAAATGTATCTATATGATAAAATCAAGTATTTGATAGAGATAACGTCTAATAAAATACACAAATATAATGGACTAATGCTTGTTAAATATAATTACGTGTCAAGTGTTCACGTCATTCAAATCTCATTGACTATATATATACTCATGTTCGTTTTTTTTCTTATTTTAAGAGTGAGAATGTGAGAGAGAGACAATTAGAAAGTTTTATATCTATCCTTGTTGGCTATCCTTATTCAAGATTGTATAATCTATTCAATCTTTATCTCTTCTTTTGAGTAATTTTGTACAACTTTTACTCACTATGATAATTTGAAACGAAATAATACAGGTTGGCTTTCGAAAGGCTCAAGCAGAGAAGATGTTATTTATTTTGCGTCTTGTATGATATTTTTTTATTCAACGTTGTACGAGAAAAAAAAAGAAATGAGCATTTTAATACATCCAACTACACCGGTCGACAATAACGGTCAAATTTTCTGTTCATTATTTGTACATATGCATATATATATATATATTACTATATGTACACTTGTTGTACAAGTATCATCATCCTACACACACCGATAAATTGCACATCTCTCTCTTTCTTCTCTTTTAAATTAAAAAAAAGATATTTTACATATATATAAATATCAATTTTAACGATTTTTTAAAATGTAATTTACATCTTCATGCAAATAATATCTATTGATGTAACATCTATTTTTCGATGAGTGTTGTTTATGCCGAGTTTAATTGAAAAGTCAGAAATTTTACCTGATGATGATAATATACCAAAAACATTTTTAACTATTCTACAAGAATTGCATCAAGATGGACGTTTAGCTTCATGGAAAGTTCGAGGCCAAGGAGATATTTTAAGTGTTAAACTGACATGGACTAGTACCGCTGGTAATGAAGATGAGTCATCAATCACAAATGCTTATCAAATTAAAGCTACGGCACAACAACGTGGTATGCTATTTTATTTCTTGCTTTAATATATTTTTAGCTGATAGTGAAGACAATGGTAATGATATTTTGTTTCCTACTTCAAAGGAAAATTCTGGTACGTAGTTATTTTGATATTTCCATCATGACGTGGAAAAATACATCAATTTTTGACATGTTAAGTTTAAACCACAGTTCAAGATAATGATAAAAAGCTCAACCTGTCTCCTTCACTAATGATATGTGTGAAAAAAAAGGTTCTAAATATTTCTTATTAGTTTGATGGTGAGAACAATTATCATTATTCGGTCATCATAATACTATTTACAAAGGATTGTTACTTGGAAGATCACATGCATTTAACCTCCTAACATTTTAGATAAGTTTTCTTTTTTCTTTTTAGACCCTAAAACACCATTGTCCTGTTTGTTGCACGATAAAAATTCTAAAATAGAATTAAGAGAGTTTTCTGATCGAATTCGTAGCTTAACTGATAAATTACAAAATGATTTAGCCGGACGAAACGAAAACATTGATACACGTTCACAGATAAAAAGAACAGGTAGATATCACATTTAGATAATTTATAACAATATTTCAGAAAAAAGAATCTAAAGTGGTTATCATACTATAGTTATGACAATAATACGAAAACGTGGAGGTGAGACATACGCTGCTAACAGCGTCATTAATGCTTCTGAAATATAATACTGGCCGTATAATTAGCCTATGAATCCTAATTAGATCCTAAAAGATCAAATTGCTCACAGAAATAATATACTTTTTTAATGCTTTTTGTTTAATTTTTATTGTCGTTTCGTTTTGATGTAATTCTCTATTCGCATTTATCATCATTCAAAGATAAACAAAAACTCACAGTTAAACAAAATCTCAAAGAACATCAACAACACATAGCAGCAGAAATTGGTCGAGCAAGAGTACTTCTGAGCGAAACAACTCGAAGTAAGTAAATACACTTTCTGTTTTTTTGAATGAATATTTAAGTAATTAATCCTACTTTATTACTATGTAGATAATATGATAATTATATAGGAGAGTTCCACATTATTAATATACCTGTCAGATACTAATTCATCAGAGCTAGATGATTTGATGATTTGGTCAAATAGAGCAAACACTCGTTCAACGATAAAAAGTTCCCGAGTCTCATGACCCTACCGTAGAAACATCGTATAAACAAGTTCTTGAGTTTAAGAATGTTGTTATGATAAGAGTAAAGTCGTGTAAAAAATGTTTGGGAATACCTTTGTGTTCTTCCGATGAGTGATCAAAGATATGCTGTTGATCGTATAGACCGGCATGTAGCTGGTAGATACAGGTTGAAACAATTCAAGATTTTCTGCCCTTTGGGAAAAAAAGAATATTTTTTCCTCGATCCAAAAGACTTTAGAATAATTTCGACTATATTAACCGTATTTTGTATTTTAAACGTGTTTTCAATATATTTTTTAAGAGAGTGCAATTAGAGAACAAAATTTAGTTTAGACTACGTACGTACCAACCCTAAAACTTTTTTTTATTATTAAAAAACGATTTTTATACATTATAGAAGTATGCTCTATTCGACGTATGAGATTGTCGAACAATAAGGCGTAGAGGACGGTAGAGTTCAAGGACACCACCATACTTACCTTTACCTGTTAGTAATCAAAGCGCCAAAACAATTATGTCCTTAAATGACTCGAAACGTCTTCTCTTTTGAGGTGTATTTGTTTCGACCATAGAAGATAATTGATAGATATGTATTAAAACGGATTATAAAGCCCTGATGTCATTGATCCCAAGGTCGGTATACTGATTTATGAGAAATTATATGTCAGACAGTTACCTTAACCAAACGAAGAAAATAACATAACAAAAGCGTACGAAACCCTCCCTTATTGATCAGTTTTACTGTGTTTAGCCAATGAGCGAAGAATAAGAATCGGTAGACTTTTTTATGTTCATCTAGAATATTATATTGAATTGTTTCGCCTAAGATGCCGAGCACTTCTTCGCTTGCCCATGTAACTCCTATGGCAGAGATGTCACAGTGTTACTTTCTTTGCTCATTTTGTTTTGACTATAACTCTGAAACTAAAAGTCGTACAGAGTTCAGAGACGTTTTAAATTATAGAAAAAACTGTTTTCTACCTGTTGAGATTTGATCAGACTCTAGGAAAATCTATTTTAAAAAAAACTATGGTCAAAATGCTGCGATCTACACATTTGGTTTCAGTTCTTAGAAAATAGATCTCAGCATTTTGACCACAGTTTTTTTTAAAAACATTGCAAAAAGCTATGATTCCATTTTGAAGAACCAGAACGCTAAGGTGACAAAATATCCACGTATGTGAACTATCCAGGTCACAGAAGATCGAATTTTTCATATAAGTCTAACGTAATAACTGCCCATTACTCGAATATATAAGATTTATTGTTTATACTGATGCTAAAAAGTCCAATAAAAACAAATATAGCGTTTTTGGTGCCTGATTTAAAGAGGGTGATCACTCTTTGTATGAATGAGTGGTAAATATGCAATTCTATCACAAAAGTTTGACAAAAACAGTAAAAGGATAAAAAAAGATTATTTTTCTTGAAAAGAAAAGCCAAAAAATCCTCTGTTTCCTTTTCCTATGATAGGAAAATAACAGTAAAATATTATTTTAATCATGTGTTTATATCTACAATATTTATTGCTACACCCATGATTCTTTGAAGATTTTGTTTGGAAATGTTGAAAAATATAAATTAAACAATAAAAACTGAGAAACATTCCCTCTAGAATGAAAGGACACTTTCGACAAAAAATTATTGCAGTGTACATAAATAGTGAAAAACATCATAGCTGAAATGATGCTGTTAGTCGTAGTAGAATGTTGAATATTAGTTGTTACAAATTGCTGCGATGATCGTATTTTAATGATCATCCATCTCACATTTATTTATGTTATTTTCTTATAACTATTGTATTTTTTACAAGTCGTTTTTATACCTGTATCGTTTATGATTGTTTATACAATAATCTACATGTTATTTATTAAGTGACAAAAATTATTATCAAACAAAACTAGATTTTTGAGTAATCCATTTGCTATTCAAATAGATAACAATTATCATTTAATTACAGGTGCGAATATAAAAAATGATACTTATGAACATGATTTACGAAGTTTAATTATTAAACAAATCGAATACGTATTACAAACAGATTTATCAAAATTTCAAAAAGTGAATAGTGAAAATTGAAATCGACCGAAATCTTTCAGTTATTCATTGTAGAATCTAATATGGTCGAAGTCAAATATCACTGGTTCCTGTTTCGATCAACAGCTCGCACAAGTTGTCTTCGATAAAGTAGCTTGTGTGTTTAGTTATTCGTACAGTCTGAACGACACTTAATCATTGTTTTAGTGTGTCAGTAAAGAAATATTTCAAGAATTACCATCTGTTTTTGTATCAGTATGTACCATATGTTTCTTTATTACTTGAAACTTTATTATGTGCTCTATTGTAATCAGACAGCTCCATATAAACCACATCAACAATTATTTCAGCCATCAGATCCCATTTGGAGTGAACAATCACCACAAGAGTCTACTTGGGAGGTAAAACACGCACTATTCGAGTACTACACCAAACTAATTGAAATATTTTCAGATAAAATCTCGCAATGATTCAATACGAAAAGTTATTGTTACTCCATCACGAAATGAACAAGGTAATAAAACAAAATTATCAATTGATACTATAAATGCTTAATTTTGTATTTTTCCTTTGTTTTTTACAGAATCAATGGATAATTATCAATCAGAATCTGAAATAAGATTGGATCCCGATTCTGAAACTGATTCTGTAGCAATTAATCAAACATCATTTGATTCTGATACGGAAATTATTCCTGTCAACGAACCTGCTTTGGATACAGGCAATTGGAAAAAAGACTGGCAATTAGCAGGCAAAGTACGGATGTTTTATTTTGTGTCTTTACTTATAATACTCTTATTAACTTCTTATTGTTTTACATTAGAATCATATTGGAGAAGAAGTGCCAAGAAATTCTCGCATAGGAAGTGAAACAGTTTTATTAACTATTCCAGAAGCTCGAGAAGACATTTCTCCGAGAATCGGAGACAAGTAGGATTGTTATTCATGTTAGATAGATAAGACTAGTAAATAAGATATTATTTATTTCAGATCGTTAGAAGAACTTGGCGATGATGATTTGTATGCCGATGATCAATCAAATATTCATACCATGTCATCTACTCAAACACAAGACATTTCTACGAACGATGATTCACATAAAACCTTTTCATTATCAGCAAATCTCATTCTATCATCAAAACGTTCTTCATCAAATTCTTACCGTCAACCGTCTTATACATATGAATCAGATGATAATGAAAGTGTCATATCAGAAATATCATCATTAACATTGACCGATTCAAAAATGTATATCGACGAAGAAAAGTTTAAATCTGATCCTCATATCTTAGATCCAAAATTTATTCAAAGACCAAAAGATTTGATTATCAGATGTGGAGAAGCGGCGAAATTTAAATGTCAAACAACGGGAACAGAACCTATTGGTAAATATCATTTAACATTACTATTCAATTACTTGTAATTTAAAATACATTATTATTCCAGATGTATTTTGGTTCCGTTTTGGCGCGGATGACGATTTGGTGAACGATGAAAAATATCAGATAACACACGATGAGAATTACCATTATTTGAAAATATATGCTACAACGAAGGAAGATGAAGGAAATTATTTATGTGTACTAGCTAATGATAAAGCTCAAAATGTTGATATTATTAGACTAATTATTACAGGTAACATATGTAATTTTATTAGAGCCTTCAAGCAAAAAAGATTTTTATGTTAGATTAAACTAGGTGAAGAGGAACGTTAACTTATCATCCTTTTTACTTATTTTAATCTGGCTGAAAAAAATATCTCAGAAATCGGTACTCTTTGTTTTAGATAATAAACGTACATTTCGTTCACCAACAATTATTCAAGATTTTAAAGATGTTGATGTCATTGAGGGGAGTTTATTTACTCTTAGATGTAAAATAGATCATGGTTACCCAAAAGCTCGAGTTTTGTGGTATAGAGAAGATAAAATCATTCGTCCGGATGGTCATTACAAATTGTGTAAGATAAACAGCTGCTTTTTGCAGGTTTCATTCGTGTACAGATACGTATTGATGCAACATTTGTTTTAAGATTATGACGGTGATGGTGTTCATGTGTTACAAGTTGATGAGTCAACGACTGAAGAAGATAATTCAACTTTTACATTTCTTGTTTTCAATGCAGCCGGAAGAGTACACATATCAGCCGATGTATTTGTCAATGAAAAAGGTAGAATGAAAAATATTTTGATGTCCTTCTCCTTTGTTTTATCTTATCATCGCTTTATATTTACCTAACAAACACACGACGTTTTTTCATTCTAAAAGAAGTCATTGATCGACCAAGAGGTACACATATCAGACCTCTATTATCTGCAACGACAAAACATAATGGAACTGGCAATATGATCAGCAACGACGAAGATAGACAAACAAATTGGTCTGCTTCCATGTTAACAACATCGCCCAATGTTAAACAACCTACTCAATTTGATCATCCACCACAAATATCACCCGAAAGTTCACCTCGTTTATTAACACCAGAACCAAAACGTCATATATCAACATCTAATCTCGATCGATCAGCAAAACTATTGGAAAGTAAGTCCCATTACCTTATTATAATAATTCTTATAATTATGTAGTACCTTTAGGCTGGAAAAATCTTTATCAACAAAGTATTGATATACTAAAATCAGATGATTTAGTACCATTTCATCCATATCCTAGACCTCTTGATGATTTAGAACATGAATCTCCCAGAGGTATGCGTTCTTAACGTGTATGTTACATTCGTGAATTATAATCAGCTAATTTTAGAGGAACATTCACGATCACCAACGCTAAATCTTAATAGCAATCAACTGTATAAATCAAAATGGGAGGTACGTTTGCCAGAGCTTCTCAATGTTACTGTTGGACCAGATAGACCAGTAAGTAAGAACTTAAGTGTCTACTCACGACGGTTACAATATTATCTTTTTAGAAACGAAATCCATTGAGACGTCATACAACAGAAGTTGTGTATAAACAACCGCAAGAAGACTATTTTCAAGAACAATCGATATCAAATGAACGAAGTGTAATTAACTTTTGTCTGTTATCTATGTATTTATCACTTATTATTGTTGCCTTTTTTACAGATTCAACCACAAAATCAATCGTTATCACAATCATTTTCGCCCGATGGTGAACCACCAAGTCCGTTGGTGAAACACTTGAAACAAAGATTTGATAAAATAGAACCATCCAAAGTTCATAGAGTACGCAATGCTCCGCTGCTACCGGTTTGTCGCTTTGCTCTGCTTTTTTATCTTATAAACAGTCAAAATCATCTAAGTTTTAATGATTAGCTTTTTGTCACTTCTAAGTAATATCAGCTAAAAGTATAGGATTTTTATGATGATGATAGTGACGAACAGAATAATGAAATAATTTTCCTTCATTTTTTTACCATTTACCAACAAGGCTTCGCTAGTAGTAGTTAACGTAGTCCATTGTTGTGTGGTGATGGTATCATTATGCTCATTATTACTATTTCTTTTATAACTAACAAATCCACTTACTATATCTCGAAACTAACATAGAAGAACTTATATGTCGAACTTATGTTCAAAACAGAATAATATTACACACTTTGCAATTGTCTATTGCCGCATTTTCTTAATGCATATTAATATCTGATTTGTTTATAGGTAGCTAGTTTAACATGTCGTGGTCTCACAGCAAATAAGAAATCTAATAAACGTCCTCAGCTATTTGTTGCTGTTCATCGTGCTCGTAAGTGTGCTCTGTGTATGTGTGTGTATGCAATACTTTAACTGATCCACAATACTGCATTTTTCTGATCCATTATCCTAGCTGACTCCACTAACCCATTAACTTCACGTCAATCATCATTACGAAAAAAAGGTAATAAAAACTCCTCACTACCAAACACTTATCGAAATTTGTATCCACCACAATCAACGAAAACGGTTGTCAACCAATTACTAAAACAAGATGGATTTGGTGCTGCTACAGTTGTTTACGATAGTACTACTCCTAATACTAACGGTCTTAATGCTACTACTGATCATCGTTCAGCAGCTATAATGAACTCTAATCGAAACACCTCTAATAATAACATGGTGTCATCGCCTAAAAGCACACGTCAGAATAATGAAACATCGCTTGGAAAACAACCGCTGCAACCAGCACTCAGACTAAAATCAAAAGAAAATATTGTAAGTTGCATGATACACCACACATATAGTCGTTTTGCTTTTACTTTACAGCATGCGCTCATACACCAGCAGTTATCAAACTTTAAGATACTTTTTTAACTGAAACTAGGAGATATGGCATAAAGTATTGGAGTCTCAGCACTTTCTATTCTTCTCCTCTTCCTTAAATTTCATAAGGTTTAGTTTTTTATCAAAGAATTCCCCATTTAATTCTATAAAAAAACTTTATTGGCTATTTTATTGCGAAATCTGAAGGTGAAAAATGCTATAACAGTTTGTGGCAACTATCAAAATGGATAAAAAATACCGTATTATCTCAAACAGAGCTTAGTTTTTTGAAATAGTTTCGTAAGCATCAGAATGCAGTTTGGGTATATTTTTGTGCAGTTTTAGTGTGCTCTTTTCCCATCACATACAACAAAATAATCAACACAGAGATTGGCATCTCGAAAATTGGGCGAGAACAGTAAAACTTTCAGACTATTTCTGCATGTTATAACAGAAGAATTTTTTTCTAAAATCGTAGTAATCCAACAATATAGACTATTCATTGTCTTCAAAATAAAAGCAATATTCATCCTGAAAGGATGAAATTTGTATAAACTACACGTTTTTTATCAAAAGCTACAGCTTACCTGCGATTCGAACTAAAAAAACTTTAATTATAGGTGAAAGACAGATTTTTTCAAGACTTGCATGATGGTTCCTTCAGCTTTTTCCTTTCACAAACGTCTAGCGCATAAAATAAAACGCTATTTTTTACCATATGTTTTATCCATTTGGCACAAATTGTCATATCATTTTTCACCTTCGAATTTCGCAATAAAATAGCTAATAATTTTTTTTTATAGAATTGAACGGAGAATCCTTTGATAAAAAAACTAAACTCAATCAAGTCTGCGGGAGAGAGAGAGAAGAATTGAAAATACTGAGACTTTATGACACACCCGTTATATCTAAGAAATTACGTTTTCATTTAGAAAACGCTTCATCTAGTATATAACTTTGATAAAGAATCAGAGAGGCCGATTGTAAGTGCTGAGAGAGTGTATGTGTGCAAAATGTTTTATCATAATGTGACAGTATATGATTAACATGTACCAGAAGTTTCTATGTATCATCCTATGAACGATGTTATCTACCCTGAATAGTTACGCCGTTATTTTGATCATCAGTCACGGTATTATTTGAATTCATAAGCAGTAGATTTTATAGTCATTGAGCGTGAAAAATATTTAATCCCTATTTTCACATTGAAAAGTTTCGAAACATTTTGTGTTAGAATAAATTCATAGGTAAATGAAACGCATGACATTGTACCAGAATTTTGTCAACATTTCACATAAGTCACGTTTGTTTGTAAACAAAATAATTGTTTTTCTTTTCCTATTCCATGAACATACATTATTTTGGGTTCGACACAGACGTTTTGTTCAGTTTTAATTGAAATCAGAAAAATAAATGGGTTATATTACGTAAAAGTCAGCAGCTTTCGAAATGTAGCGAATGAATAAAATATATGTCTTCCAATCAAATTTAATTTTATACTTTATCAATCCAAATTTTATTTTATTTATTTTATTTTATTTTAGAACAGCAAAACCAAAACTAATTTTGATGATCAAGCACGTCATGTGCGTAGTCAAAATGATAAATCGTCACCGGAGACAATTATACCAAAATCGAATATGACTCCTAAAATCAGCAATGAAAGACGAACGAATAAAAACTTAAATAAATCCTTAACGACTTCGAATTCAATGTCAGATATAAAACAACATTCGATAAATCCACCAGCAAAACCGGAACGTTTATTTATTCCATCGAACGAGTCAACAACAACTGATAGTGTAACTAAAACAACACCTTCGAATACTACCGCCGACAATGTGGTTTATGAAGCGATACCTCCAAATATAGATGATGCTCGAAGTTCGGTATTAGCTCGTGCTAAATTATGGGATAAACGAATTAGTGTAGAAAATGGTGAAGAAGAAGATTTGGTACCAACCGAATGGAGCAAAGAATTTGAACAAACACAAGAAAATAATGTTGAATTTTGTATTTAAATATTTATTTTTTATGTTCTATTTCTTGCTGGATTTTACCGTGTATTATTTTAATTACATCTATAATTTTTGTTTTTTATAAATTTATAGTATATTTCATAAAATTATCTGTTTTCAAAACAATATGTTGCTTTCATTATGAATTTTATTTATCATTTAATATGTCTTCTTTTTTTTTCTTCTATTTTTCATTTCATACAGAGTAAAATGTAATGGTTCAATCAACTTTCTGAACACAATGATTTTTAAATTGTAGCATACATCTATCCTTAATTCTCTATTCAATGAGAGAAAAGATACGAACGTGAATAGAACCATATTCACCATTCAAGATAACGATCGAAACATAGTGATTAAATCTAGCTTATAATGATGCGTACATGAGACAATGATTTGTTATTAAATCATTTTGACTTTCTAGTGCTTAAATGAACTTGAATGAAATTGACTTTCTAGTGTTTTATTGAGAAATGAACTAACCTGAAATTTTTTTTACTGAAAACCATCTGAGAGATACCAAATGTTTTCACTTCACTATATTCAGAACTTCCAAGGAATGCCAAAGCTAAAAGTTTCACAATAGCTAAAAAATGTTTCTTACAGAAATATCATTTCAAGAAATTTTTTCTCGGTTGATTTGAAATTACGATGTCTATAAGAAATACTTTTTAGCTACAGTGGAAAGTCTAGAAGAATTGTATTAGTAACATTAATTCCCGATGACTCTGAATTTATCTTATTAAAAGTTCATGGTATCTCGAAAAAAATATTGACAGATTCTCTAAATTGTTAGTTTAGAACTTCTATGGAATTTATGATCCCATATATCTCGGCGATTTTTTCCTTAAAAAGTACTCGAATGAGTTCAAATTCACAGTTGAAGTCATTTTTAATCTAAATATTCATTTATCTTATTAAGAAAAAATGTTTTAGAAGTAATATTGACAGTTTTCAACTTTTCTCTAGGTATGTACGTTCTCGTTATTCCGATAGAGAAAAGAAAAAATTTATTTTTATAGGAAAAAATATGAAATTTTATTATTCATAAACAGAAATTAAAAAACGTTCGCTTTGATTTTTTTTGCTAAGTGACTGTACCATTGTCCAATATGTAAGCCATTTCTGGAAAAGTAGCGCTATTCTTCAATGTTTCAAAAATTTATGTTTGCCTAGACGATCTGCGTATGCGATGCAAGATCCGTACAGTCAAGTAATAGAGCGACAAAAAAATTAAACGATTAAGTATAAATTTGGTTCGTAAAAATAAATTTTCCACAATTGAAATAGGATTGAAGTAAAGATTGATTGTACAATAACAGTCAGTCCATTTGTTTATACAATACTGTCTGAAGAATGTCAGACAAAAACACAAAGTTTTTTATCTCTGTATTTCCTGAAATTAGCTATAACAGAAGTAAATAGCAATATACGGGTTATACTAGGGAGGAGATGAATACATGCATGCGTATGGTAAAATACAAAAAAGAACTTTATTATTATTATTCGTATTTGCTGTTGTACTAAACGAAGGTTGATAATATACAAAAAAACGTATGTATATTTTGCTGACTACAAACATTTTTTCTTGTCTCTTCGGTTCGTACGAGAGAGAAAGCGACAGACAACGATTCGTGCTGAAGAATCTTTACTTTGACGAAAACTATGATCATTATTATAGTTATCGGTTATTCTAGGCACACACAAAATCTTTAGTTTATTGTGTGAAACAACATTTTCCCGGATGTAATATTATATCATCGCAGAGAGAACTGTACAAATCTTTTCTCGAAGATAAATATTATTAGGAACAGAAAAAAAAGAGAAAAAAAAAACGGAACACTGAGAAATGCTGCAATCTTTATATAGTTGTGTAGGATGTAATCGTACATGATACATTTATGTACAGAGAGAGAAAATAACCAAACTAATATCCAGCATCGGAAAAAAAACCACCAAAGTGTAATAAACGACAAATTCTAGTCCGTTTCTTTCTTCTACAAACGACTGAGAAGAACAACCTATTTTTTGTTTAACATACTCAAAGAAATCGTCATTGAAAGGCAAGTTTTTCACTCTGATTTTTTTCGAAATTAAATCAAATGACAAAAAAATACTGTTACTATCATTGCTTAGAATCTATACATATACTTTAAGAAAACATGAAGATGATTCAATAAAATCATTTACTTGATGTAGTGATTCTGTACTCAGGCTAGTTGTAAAGCCGAGTTAGAGACGGGCGAGCGAAAGAACATCTGTCTGGTGTTATACAAACCAGTTGAATGATCGCCAGTTTCTCAAGTTATGTAGGAAAGAAAAATGTAGTTTAAGATGTTAATGGAACTAGTATCATGGTTGTTATTATTATTATATATAAAAAAGAAAGAAAAATAGTGAAAAAGACCTGATTGAACGGTCAATGTATGTTCTGATTCTGAGTAAAGAAAAAAAGAATGACCGAACCCCTTGTAAAACAAAACATAAGTAGATACAACAGAGATAATAATTTAGATAGCACAAACTATATAAATTCTCTCTTATCACTGAAGAAAACAGTTATGTATTTCTGAATATGAAACATAAAATGTTTAAATGAAGTCATTTATCCTGATTGTTGTTGGTTTTACAACTGCTATTTTATTACTAGAGATTTTATTGAATTATAATCGATATTTCATTTTTCTGTGCAATTTTATTGTTCTTAGTAATCTTCTATGGACTCTCATTTCGAATAGCATAGGTATAATTGATAAAATACTATTAGATGATGCTCGTGGCGAAAAATAAACAAAATAAGTGTATCACTTCAAGTAGAAGAGATAAACCATAAAAAACAGTTTTATCTAAACACTGTTATTTTCAATATAACCGTTCTTTTCAACTACATAATGATTTTATTAACTTTAGGTTTATTCGTAGATCATGACCGAAGCAATCTTAGCGGTTAGTCTCCATTATTGTCGATGCTTCTAGACTATGATTGTTCTTTTCCTCTGTATAGAGTCGTTTACGTGACATTGAAGAAGAAGTTAGAGCTGAGCGTGATGTTCGACTTCGTCAAGAAAAAGAATTAACAAATTTACGAATTGATTTTGATGAATTAGAAACTCAACTGGATGAAGCAAATACATTGCGTGATCGTGAATTAGAAGCAAATAAACGTTTAAAACAAGAAATACATGATCTTCGACAAAAAATAGAATTACAATCAACTGAACATGATGAAAATCAAAATGGTGTACGACGACGATTTCAAGATACGGTTTCTGATCTCACTAGTCAAGTCGAAGCGCTTAGTAAAGGAAAAGCAAGGTAGTATTATTTATATCTAACGAGTATAAAAGAATAAAAGTATTACTTTTTTTTTAGACATGATAAAGAAAGCAGACAATATATTGTGGAAATTGAAGAACTTAAAAATGAAATTGAATCATTAGCTAAAGGAAAAGTAAGTTTTCTTTAAATGACATAAGATACTTATGATAAAATATGTTTTATTTTAGAATCAAGCTGTAGCAATGAGCAAAGAATTAGAATCAAAGACAATTGAAATGAGTCAAAAAATTGATGATGCTATTCGACAATTGACCGATGCTAATGCAGCTAAAGGTCGTTTGATTGAAGAAAATTTAACTTTCAGTCGACGTTTAGAATCACTTGAATTTGAATTTAATCAAATATCAATTTCATACAAACGAGCACAAGGAGATTTAGAAGAAGTTCGACTCCATCTAGAATCAGAAATGGCCGTAAGTTTTGTTTGTTTTATCTAAATAAAACTAACTTGTTTCATTTTATCTTACTAGATGAATAGAACATTACAATCAACAGTGAAAACATTTCAAATGGATTTAGAATCAACAAAATTACAGTTGGAAGATGAAATTGAAGCTAAAGTTGAATTACAAAAACTTTTAATTAAAATTCAAGAAGAATCACGTATAGTGCGCGATCGATTAGAAAAAGATATTGAAGCAAAAAATGAAGAAATAGAAGAACAAAGGTATGTCTGTTATACCGGAAAAATATTTTCAATTAATTAATTCCTTTTGTTATTTAGACGAAAGTTTAATGGTCGTATCAATGAGATGCAAGAACAATTAACGGAAGTATTGGCGAAAGCAAGTAATTTGGAAAAGATAAAACAACGATTACAAGCTGAGAATGACAAATTACAAGGAGAAGTTGATAAGGTAATGTCATAATTATTTCACAGTGAAGTCAAAGAAACACAATAGCAAATTTATATGTGTATTTTAGTATCGTAAGAGAGCTGATGAAGCCGTACGAAGAAATAAACAATTAGAAAAAGAAGTAGATGAATATAGGACAAGACTGAGCCATGTAAGCGCTGAATTAGAATCGGCATTACAAGCAAATCGTAATTACCAAAGTGAATTGGTCAAAGTGAAATCATTAAACGAACAATTAACAGAGCAAAGTAGGCGAAAAACAACTACCATCAATTAGTTCTACATATTTTACATAAATCCTTTTTTCTTCTTTTCAGTTGATATAATTACAAGAGATAAACGTCGATTACAAGGTAACATTACTAACATTCATCAGTGTAAAATTAACTTTTGAATTTATCTTTGAATTTAGATGAAATGGATGTTGCCCTAAATCAAATAAGTGATTTGAATACAAAACTCGTTGAAATGGATCGTCATCGTAAACAATTAGAAGCGGATAAAATGAGTTTACTGTCAACGATTGATGAATATCGTGAACAATTACATTTGGAAGCAAGCAGATCAGCTGCATTAAGCGCTCAATTGGAAAAAATACGTGGTGAATATGAAAAAAAATTAGCCGAAAAAGACGAAGAAATAGAATTAATGCGAACAGCACATCGTCGACAATTGGAACAAATGCAGTCACAAATGGAAGAATTAGAATTACGTTATAAATCAGAAATAAATCGTATTAAATCAAAATATCAAGCAGAAATCGATGAAATACGTATGCGCTATGAATCATTGAAAAAAATTAAAGCCGATTTAGAAAATCATCTCAAAAAATTACAAGCAGCTATTAAGGTAGGCAATATAATGTTTAACTGATGTAGATTCTAAATGTCATCATCGCATAGGATGTACAAGATCAACTCATTGAAGAACAAGCAATACATGAAGCAACAAGAGAAATGTTAAACGGTTCGGAAAAACGAAATGGTATATTACGAGCCGAGTTAGAAGAAATTCGGGTTCTTCTTGATCGAGTAAGGAGCTCAATAATATGAGAAGAGCTAACAGCTTTACTCCGTATCTGTTTAGAGTGAAAAAGCTCGAAAAACAACTGAACTGGAATTACATGATTCAGAACAACGTTTAACTGAAGCACACTCAGTGGCTAATCGTGCCATTGCAGAGAGAAAAAAATACGAGGCTGATGCTATGCAATTACAAGGAGAAATCGCTGACGTGCGACAAGAAATAAAAATTTTAGACGAAAGGGTAAACCAAATATTCAACTTTTTATTGATTTTTAAGAATAATAACTTTTCATATTTTAGGCCAGAAAATTAGCAGGAGAGTTGATTAGACGGGACGAAGATATTCGTCATGAACGAGAAAAAACAGCTGAATGTGAAGCATCTAAACGTGCATTAGATCAACAATTACGAGATGCAAGTGCTAAAATCGATGAAGCCGAAGCATATGCTCGAGCAGAAGCAAAAAGAATAGCAGCTAAATATGAAGGACGAGTAAGGAGAAAATAAAATAAACATATTTATATTATTTTTTTACAAATTCAATTGTTTGTTTTTCAGTTAGGACAATTAGAAACAGAATTAGAATTAGAACGTGCTCGTTATCAAGAATTACTTAAAGATTTACGTCGCTATGAAAAGCGTGTTAAAGATTTATTGAATCAAGTGGATGAAGAACAAACAAAAGTTCTTTCTTTAACAGATTCGATGAGTAAAGTCAGTGATAAAATGAGAGTATATAAATCTCAAATTGAATCAGCTGTAAGTATTACACTCTCACTATCAATATATATATATACTATCAATAATGCTTTGTATATTTTACAGGAATCATCGGCTGCTCAAGTTCTAACACGTGCAAGACGACTTGAGCGAGAATTAGAAGACGCTGAAGAACGAGCCGAAATGGTGACCACAACTTTAATTCGTTCAAGAAGTGTACATAGATCAGAAATGTACGATTAAACAATGGAAATTTAACGTTATTAAACGATAATAAATAATCGTATCTTATCTTTGGATCTATACCGTTTCGTTTCATTTCAACGTTTCTAGTCTGGATTGAAAAGCCTGTATTCTCATTCAAGTTTGATATATCAAAAATCTTTGCTCGCATTCTATTGGAATGACAAGCTAGTACATTGTTCTAATATCTAAACAAACACAAAATTTTTTTTTTGTGTACTAGATTAGTCATAAGTAAATGTTTCACCCTGAGCTGCTACTTCTCTTCTGTTTTTATTATTCCTCTATCTTATTTTGCCAAAATAAATTAAGTTTCTATTTTATAGTTTGTTGTTAGGGAAATAATATTTTTACGTACAAATAATATTTTGTCATCCACCTTAAAATATGCATTATTGTTGAAATTATAACGATGTTTTCACAGTATACATTCAATCAATAATTCTATTTTTACCTTATGTAGTTTCGTAATGTAAATACGAACTACTTTGAAAGACGATTTAAAAGTCGTTGAAAAAAACGTTATTTCACTTACAAATAGTTTTACCTGGAACATTCCATTGTCTGACATAAATTAATTTTAGTAAGATGTAAGAAGAGAGTTTTGATACTTGAATATCAATTTGAAAGAAGCTGACACGCAAACAATCTTCATTATGACTTCAAACTAATACAATCGCTTATAAGCAAAAATCCTAAAATCTACAGTTTTCGATAATTTATAAGATTTTGTAAGTAGAGATCGATTTTAATAAATAGAAACAAGCAATGATATTTCTCGACGTTCTTTCCTTTTTACAAAATGTAAAAAAATATTAGCAATACATGTTAAGAAAAAAACATTTTATGGAAAGCCAAATTTGCGAAAAAAATGAGAAAAGTTATACGAAAATAAATAGAATGAAGAAAAGCGTTTCTAGAGTACAATGTATCTGTCTTGTATTACAGGAGATATGAAAAAAAAATTAAAGTTAATAAAGACTCAGAAATACATAAAATATCTAAAGGATATCAGAAAAAAACCAACGGTACATAATGATTGATTGACTTAATTGAACATCGCTCACTGTGTTTTGGGAGAAGAAAAAAAATATGAAAAAATGTTTTAAACAAGATTAAACCCAAGATTATGTTGGATAGCTTCAGTCAATTTTTCTTTTAAAATCGCTTTGGACGAATATAACGGTAAATCGAGTAAATTAAAACATGTGTGTGCCACAGGAAGATGTTGATCATCTTTGTGACTTCGTTGAATAATCATTGGCTGTAACAGAAACGAATTAGTGTTAAGTCAGAATACGGCTTAAACGCGTATGATGGAATTACATTTTTTCAACTTTTGGGCTCTGTTTCTCCTCAAATACTGAACAAAAGATGATGAAATTTTTATCAGAGATGCGCGGCAGAATGCTTGGTTTGTGGTAAAAATTTCGAATGCGTCGGTTAGGTAGAACGATTTTTATGAGCAAAATAAGTGTCGTGACGGAATTACATTTTTTAGCCTTTTTTTTCTAGTGCTCTACAAACTTTGAAAAATGCTCTAAAACGAAACATATTCAGAAAAAAAGTCTAATATAAAAGTTGTAGAGCATGAAAAGAGCTTTCGAATCATCTCTTTACTTTCACTCAAAAATGCTTAAATGAAAAGAAACAAGCGAAATGGCTCCGTGACGGAATTACATCATTTTTTTGCTTTCTTTTGCGGTGGGTTTTATCGTTATACTTCTACCGGTAAAAAAGACTTTTATAAACTTGATCTGCACGGAGCCTTATGCAATCGAGTGCCCTCTATCAAACTAAGCAAAAAAGAACGGTGGGAGAATTCTGATTTCGTAGAATTGCTCCAAAAAAAGTACCATTTCGAATTCGGCAAAAAATCGGCAAAAACTAGCAAAAACTTGTTTAGTGTGCAAAATGCGTTTTTTAAGATTGTTTCGACAAAGTCAATAGTGCATTTTGTAGAGAATTTAATTCTTTATCCACTGATATACTTTCTGAAACTTCTTAAAAAACTAAGTAGGTCAGAAAATTTAAATAAAAAAACTTGAATTTTGACTTGAAAAAACTTGAAAAATTAGAATTTTCGATTTAAAAATTTGAGTTTCGTTCGTTTTAAAGTTGATATTCGTAATCAGCGCAAAAAGCTGCGTCTAATGATGTGCTTTTAAGGCTGGTTTGAGAGAAAAAATATCGCTCAACCCACCGCGGCTGAGGGTAACAGTTACGCGTTTTAGCCGAACACTAAAAAAAGTACACTTTATATTACGTACCTGAGTCCAACCAAACACAGGGACACGAGTGGTTCCCGTTAAAAATTCTAGATAATAAAGCAAATATGTTTATTGAATAATATTCTCGAATAAAACTTTACCATTGTATAATACTTACGTAAAAATTTCTTTTTTTCATCCACTGTCATTTTATGAAACACTTCCCAAAACCATTTGATAACTGGATGATTGGCATGATATTCTTCTTTATACTCTGTTTTCTTCTGAAACTAAAATGAACAATATAAATAGTTATTTGATTCAAACTCTTTGATTTGGGTACATAACGTACATCATTCCAATCATAATTTGTATTACCAACAACAAATGACATTAATTCATCTGGATAAAATAACTCGAGAGGTTGAGAGGGAAAAACACGTCGAAATCCGTCATTAAATGCACGAAATTGTTTATCAACTGATTTATTAAATATATAATCAATATATAAATCAACAAATTCTTGTTTATTTGACTGATTGACCATTATATTTGCACCATTTGGTTTCAATTCAATATGACGTCGTTCACCAAATGATTCACGTACAATTTCAAAGGTAAAACAAAACGTTTCTTCAATATCATCTTCTTTGTATATTAATAATTCTTGTAATGAACGATGAATAATTGGTGATAATGATTTTAAATCATCAATATCAATTTTTCCTTTATTTAGTAATTTTTTATATAATGCTAATGGAAATGGTAAATCAATAATAATGAAATTATAAATGGCTAAACCGCATAGTGTTCCAATTAATCGATACATATGATCGTCTTCTAATCCATGTTCACTAAACCAGATAGTATGTGTTTCTTCATAATAGGTAAACATTCCATATTTTGGATCAAGTATTTCTTTTGTAAGAAGAAGAAAAAATTCCTAAATATACGTACATATTCAGTCATCAATATTATTAATAAAATATATAAATTTTAAACATACTTTTTTTACTCCACCTAAAAAGAGAAGAAATCAAATTAACGATAATAAAAATAATTTAAGTAAAACTAACGTACCTGCATCTAATCCTTCTTCATTTATAAAATAGACATGAAGAGGTTTTTTTAAATCTTCATCTTTATATTTATCTAATTGACCAATTGTATTTTGTACAATAGAATTTCGATTGACATGAAGTGATAATAATGGATTTACAGGATCAGATGCGTCGAAAAATAATGTTTGAATGTTATGTTGAAATGCTTGTATGACCGCATCCTAAATGATTAATAATAATATATTAATTGATAACAATAGATAATAATATATTTTACATTCATCGATAATTGAGCTTCACATTGTAATAACATTGTTTTTGCACGAAAATCAAATAAAAATGGATAGTCACAAAATGAAATTGCTTGTTTATTCTAAAATTAAAAATATTCATATTAGACACTTTATTTTATTCTATTTTAAATGATTTTATTTTTGATCATTAATTACTTGAAATAAATGACGTTCTTGTTTCCATAAAACATAATGCTTTTTAATATCAATTGTATCACTTAACTCTTTTATGTAGAAAAAATCATGATTTACTAACTCTGGTTTAGCCAAAACACAACTGATCTAAAAAAATAACTAGAATTAGACGCGAAAATTATGATGAATAATAAAATCTTACATTATGTATTTTTTTTAATAGATCTAAAATTCCTCTCAATAATATCTGATATTGCTTTTGTGCAGCTGGCATATGACTCAAGTTAATACTAATAATTTTCACAACAAGAGGCTTATATATCTAAAAATAAAACAATAGATTAAGTGAAATATAAATTCAAACTATATATTTGATTACTTCTATAATTCGTTCGACACAGACCCGTCCAATATGTTGAATCCAATAATCTAAAATAAATATTTTCTATAAAAGTGTTCTATAAACATTAATCAGGAGTCGTACAAATGTACCTAATACTTTTCCATCCGCTTTTTCTTTTAATTTTGTCATTGCTAAGGCAAAAGGACCAGTAATTGTTTCTAATGCATCATCATTCTCAAATAAATGACAAAATGGTAAAACTAAATAAACACGTAGTGCCTCAAAACATGGAGCTGTTTCAGGCAATGAGCCAATAATACTCTGAATATGTTCAAGTAACTAAAGAAAAAACAAAAGTCTCATGTTTTAAATAAAAATCTTCTTAAGTTAAAAAGTCTACCAAATTTTGAATAGTTTGATCACATGTTCTCAATTTTTCCATAATGGCAATAACGCTATCAATATCAATTCCTGGATTATTTGAACTTGTTCGATAATGTACATCTGATAAGGCAAGAAATGATCCATTAATACATGCTTCTGTGTTAAATAAACGTGACATTTTTCTAAAAACAAAATCAGATACGATTTTTTAATGTATGGAGAATTTCTTGTTTGTTGTTCTTTAATCCATACCTTTCGGCATCTCTGAGAGTATCCTTAGATTTACTAGCATGACATAGTCCTCGTGCAAAATCAAGTGTAAGTTCGAGTGTTGGACGATTCAAATTGTATACACGATAATCAACAGGACGTTGGATCTATATGAAACAATACCAAAAAAATTATAGTAAAAATTCAAAAAAACATGTAATCACAAAATTATACATACTTTGTACGAAACTTTAATGAACGTTTGATGGCCGCCCGCTGCAGTAAAAACCACTTGGATATTTTGTTTCTATAAGCAAATTGTTTATTAGAAAGAATGGGTCGAATCAAAGATATTACACAACAAAGAAGTTTTTTGTGTAGTACTTAATATTTATTACCTGCTGTACGCTATGATCCGACATCTGACGTTGAAACTAGATTATTAAAAATTATTTTATGATATCGTTTTCTATAATAGAATTTGATTTTCTATACCTGTTTCATTTTTCGATAGCTCACAAATGGATATTGCAGTTTTTGTGGGATGGTTACAAATGATGTAAGCTGTGTATCTACTCCACCAGCACACGCTAATCCAAATGTTAATATTTGACCCGCATTAGGAACAAAAACAACCGTATGACTTCTTCCACAGGCAATCTGAGACACCTCCGAGCCCATTAATTCAGTAATTTTCCTAGGTAACAGTTCGTCGATTGTTGAATTATGTCCTAACTGACCGTGCTTGCCTGAACCAAAACTAAACACTCCTCCATCCTAAAGAAAACATAAGTCGTGATAATTGTAATTATAAATCAATAAAAAATACGAGCGTACATACTGCTGTTATCACAACCGTATGCTTTTCCCCACATGATGCATATGTGACTTTTTGGTATTGTAAGGCTTTTACATTAGTTGGATAAAAACGAGGATCGGTATCACCAATACCAAGCTGCCCAGAAGTGTTTAGTCCGCATGTAAAGACTGTTGCACTCTTTGATATGATAATTGAATGATGTGCACCACAAGCTATATGGCAGATTGGTACACCACGTAGGGATAACAATGGACAAGGACGCCAACAATCAATAGTATTTCCCAAACCCAACTGTCCGACATTATTTGCACCAAAAGAGTATACTGTTCCATCTAGTTAGTTCAAAAACATGTAAAAACTTGAAGAAAGTACTTACAGAAAGCACTCACCATCAGTTAGTGCCAGTACATGCGAGTAACCAGCAGCAACTTGAATTATTCGTTTGCCTTCGAATCCATCGACATATCTATAAAGAATTAGAAAATATTATAAAAAATTAAAACGTTTCCAGTTTAGATTTATGCACTTTGGTTTTTCAAAGAAAACTCCATCATTTCTTTCTATTTTCCCATTGAGCGAACCCCAACAAACAATTTTTCCATTGGTGGTTAAACACAATGAAAAATGTTGCCCACAAGCGACTTGTACACCTTCTGCATCGTTTGGTAGCATCACCCGTTCTGCAACAGAAAAGCTATTTTCTGATCAAATGTTTCAGTAACCGCGGAATTTCCATAACCGGAGAGTGGAAAGAAAAATGTTTCTTCTATGAATATAGTATAAAATTTATAACATATTATCGTTCACTGCACTGCTGTTATCTTCTAACAAAATAGAAGATTTTCAAAACCTTTCAATATGGAAAAAGGAAAAGGTCCAATTATTGTAGTGGTAGTGGATTCACTATCTTTCAAAAAACTCTTCTGTTGTGAGAATCCTGTACCTGGAACATAATTTCGTCCTTCACGCCCTAATTGTGAATATTCATTATTTCCACAAGAATAAACATTTCCATCGTCCATTAGAAAACAACTATGTGTGAGTGTACATGCTACTTGAATACACGTTTTATCGTCGAAAAATTTATTCCTTTGAGGTGTTGCGATAAATCCAGCCGGATTGGAACCAAGTCCCAATTGACCATTACTAGCCACGCCGAAACACAGCATCAAAAATAATACAACGTTTAAAATAATCGAAAAGATAAATCAAATAAACTAAAGAATAAAGAGAGAGCATTTGACAACGCACATAGTCTTTCTCCATTTGAATAAGACAATGTACTCAGTAGATGAAATCAAAACAAATAGCTTCGTTCGTCTCAGACGTATATAAAATCTCAGGCTTTACGTAAGAAATTATCAAATTTCTGTCTGATCCTAGAATGAGAAGATTTGTTTACCGCCAAAATATCACATCACTTTATCCACAAATTCAAATAGCATACTGCTCTCTTTAGTTATACGTTTGGAAGAAAGATAAGTACATTCAAACCACAGAGGAAGGTGAATCAAGAGTAAATCCGAACCTCGTCTTCCTACTGATACCAGAAGTGGGGCAGAACGTACAAAAAAAGTTACAAATACATAGTTCTGGAACACATTTCCTGCACGTTCTGTATGCTTCTAACACATCTGTATTATATAATCACTGCTTATTTTCTGCTAGCCTTCGTTTTACCCTCGTCAAAGGTAATACTCATACGATCGGACTGCTGTTGTGTAGAATCTTTTTAAAAAAACCAGAACATCATTTTGATTTGTCATTTACAAAGTAACCGATTGGTCGAAACTTTTAAATTAAACTTTTCAGATGTCGCCGTTGGAATGTGTACCTACCCTATTTTACGATCGAAATTTCTAAGGGAAAAAATCTAGTGATTCACCAAAAATGACTATTAAAGTAAGCTTATGTTGTTATAACAACTAGATTGAAGATAGTTGAGGGATTTTTTCACTAAATTGATAGATATTTAGACCATGTCTACACTACACAGATCAGACATGCTGTCTAGTATTTGATTATATGATAGTAATTTTTCACCTAATCAAACACTGGAAGCTCGTCTAATATAAGTCATGTAGTGTAGATATCACTGTAAAATTTCCACACCTCAAGTGAGAAAAAGCGTTTATGAAACATGATAACCATCGTCCAAATGAATTTCCAATAAGGTGATGGTACCGCGCTTCATCCATAGCCACACCATGCACGGGTAGCAATTTTGTGCACTTGAAGCATGATATTGCGATTCTGTTGTATCCATGCTTTACCGACGTGCCACGCTTGAGACATTACAATACTCTAGTGAATGTACTGAAGCATAAGTACCCTTAGGGGTACTCATATAAAAAAATGCATCGAGCACTTATGCATTTTTTTACTCACTGAGTACTCTTATGAATACTCATCAGGGCTCCGTATGGCCCGGTCCAGAACCAAGTCGGACCGGACTGTAATCCATTTGATTCGACTTGGTTCCAGTTTTCAAAACGTTTAATAGTTCGAACTGGTCTCGGTCCCAAAACTATTGATCAGAACTGGTCCTGGTTCGAAAACTTTTTAGAGACCTCTTTATTTTTTGTTTATCGACTAGATAAGCTTTGCTGAACATTTAATTAAGAAAAAGTTTGTTTTCAGGTTTGATAAAAATTGCAATTAAACAGTTTTTCGTTACACAATAGACATGGATCTTCAAAAAGGAGGAAAAAAATTTTCATGGTCCGCACTGATCCGAAAAATTGATGGTCCGGTCCCAAACATTGGAACCATACGGAGCCCTGGTACTCATATGAGAATTTTATGAGTATTCAAAGGAGATTTTACATAATATTTATGGGTATTTTTGAACACTTTTTCGTTTGTCATTCTTTTAAGGAAATATTGTCAGATACTCAGAGTTTGGCTGCAAGTCTGGTCACAGGCGACCGCATCTTTGATTGTGACAAAAATACTAGCGAAAAAATTTTAAGTTTCCATAATGAAATGTGTACATCTTATATAGCTACATCTTTGCAAAACAAAAAGGTGAATGAGTATTTCCGAAGTACTAATGGACGTGTGAAAAGAACCATCGCTGATTTTAGAAAATAAGTAGAAGCAGAAAAAAAGTAAGATGTAAAACGAGTACTCAAGAGGAAGAGGGGAAAGTTTTCATCAAAAAGTTTCACGTTCCCAAGATAGGGGGAGTTATATAGCGTATTCTAATGTTTCAAGCACTCACGGTTCTGCTTCATTTTGACGTTTGTCTGACAGACTAAAATCGACTGCTCGATAGTCAATTTAACATCTAATTCTTTTAAATTATCGTAAGTTAATGACGGAGGGCCTGACAAATTAACACATTCATGTTTAAACACTTGAGTCTGAATTGTGTTGTCACTCTGGTCCTCAGAGTACGATGCTGCCGTTTCGGTATCAATGTCAATTGCAATAAAAAGAACTTTCATTTCACTATAAACCTCAACCATATCTGGAAGAAAATAAAAGCAAGATCCTTGGAATCCTTTAACATAACGTTCAATTTACCAAAATTCAAATAAGTGCATGTCCACACTGCACAACAAAAATAGTTGTAAAAACAAACTTCAACGTAATAAAGAAAAGAAGAAAAGATGGCATCTGTCGTATTATGCTTGAAGCATGGCAAGAGAAAAACAAAAAGTTCAACCACTTCAAGCATGGTGTTACTACCCTACTACTTGTTATGTTTCGTAATTACCACGCTAGTGGCACGGATCATGGATGAGATGGGGGATTACCATGCTTCATGTATGGTGAATACTCTGCCGCATGGTATTTCCACACTTCCTCCATAGAACTGGCACACTTGAACAGTGTTTTTTTGGGATAGTGATGGTCATAGTGGAAACCAATAAAATCAGGAATATTAATCATCACTCTTTAAATGAATTAACTCATACAAGTGTCAAAATAAATAAAAATAAAGCCAACTGAATAATTTTCGATGATTACTCGTAACCGAAATCATACATCTATCGAAGTCAACTTTCTCACCATCCGTCGTGACGTGAGCGCGTAGTGCGTTCGTTGTAAGACTCGTGAAATAAGATGCCATTTTCTGCGTTCGCGGCTAAGCCGCGCTCATACGAAAACACCCATGACTCTCGAATATTTCACCACGATCACTGTTTTTTCGTCATTTTCGCACATTTATAATAAGTGGGTCGTTTTTATTTTTATATTATATTCATACCGCGATCGCGACACGACTATGCAAGACTTATGATGCGATCACTTTTCTCCACCGTTACTCTTATTTGTTTTTCTCATAATTAAAATTTCCAATTAAGTCAATATCAAGGCTAACATTTGCCGACTTGCGTATACGACAAATCACTGCTGAGATACGACAAAACTTTAGGAGTTTTTCGAAGATTAGTAGGAATTATATACTTTGAATCTGCGCACAATAAAACGGTGAATGGGACAGACACGAGAGTCCAGCCGTAACGTTATTTAATATCACGACTGTAAAAGAAAAACGCGATCGCGGCATGATTTAATAAAAAGACTATCTTGACACGAGTCGCTAGAGTGAGCTACGGCGTCACTTCGCGATCGCAGTAAGAAAAAATTGTCGTGTCGTGATCGCGATTCGCACCGAGACAGGACCGAATTTTAGAGGTCGTACCGTGAGGTGATTGAATGCAACGTACAGCGATCCCGATTAGGGGTGCCAGACGCCCCTGGAATTTTTCTTTCCGTAAACATTTTTGCCTAGACTTTTCGCTGCGGAAAATGTAGCAGCAACATAAAAAAGCTACTTTTTCTGTGAACTTTTTTGTGTAAATCTTCCATGTAGACGTGCAAATACGAGTATGGTCTTTCTGATATTACTTAGAAGTCTGTTTTTCTTCCCTAATTATCTCACGTCTAATTGGTTCATTTTATCGGAACAAAAAGTGAAGCAACCTCAGATAAAATCTTTTTATTTTCGCCCCATCACTTTTCCACAAGATATTTTTATAAGCTTTTCGCCACAATTATACCCCTCTGGCCAAAAAACAATCGGAATCCCTGGCAACGCGATCGCGGAACGAGAACCGCGCCCACGCCACAAATGAATCAAGAATATCGACTTGGGTGTTGAATTCTGTAGTCTGCATTCAAGGAAATTGATTTTTGGTTGAAGAATCAAGACAAGCTGGACGTAATGTAATCGTCTGACTTTTCAAGACTTTGCTTTGACAAAAATTTACGTACAATTTTTCTTCAAACCATCGTACGTGATCTCGCGGAAAATAATGTTCTAACAATACAAACTCATGAGATAAAACTTTTTTATCTGAACAAAAGCAAACTTGAATTACATTTCTCGTTTTCATTTTTCTCGAACAGGCCGCAGCTACCAAGCCGAGCTATTCTTCCTATACTTTGCATTTTTTTACCCATTTACATCTGAAGTTATCACGCCTCACGTTTTCTTTAGAATGGAGGAGTGTCTACCATAGTTTGGATATATAGCAGAGGCTGAAAGGACTAGAGTCCTGAAAATTAATTATTGTGTATTATTCTGGTCGCCACTCAACTATAAGTTTTTTCTTGGTAAAGTGGCTAGCAAGACATTTTTAGATGCTATTTGTGTTCTGCGCTTTTTGAGAACTAACAATTACCTAATATGCTATATTTTTAAAAAACACAAAAGATTGGAATATCGGAGTTCATTAAAATTTTTAATGAAATTCTTGTGCTATTAAAAACTCTAGGTCACAGCCATTTGCAGGAGATATTTTAATGAAAGTACTGAGAGCTTCATTAAAGACATTTTTAATAAAAGTTCCGGTACTTCCACTAAAAGAAACGTTTTAATGAAAGTTTTTTAACAAACGTCACTCAATCCAAAAGTTTGTATTGGTTTTGATCAAAATTATCCGAGCACTTGTTTCTTTTACAGTGTATTAGGTTTCAGCCATTTTTTGCTATTTCAACTCACAGTACTTACTCAAATTTGGTCTCTAACAGTTCTTGCTACACACCAATGATCTTAGAATAGGCACTATCGATTGATTTAAGGATACGAATATTGATTGATTGATTTTATTTTAGTAATGGCAAATGCTAGTACACAATAAGTAAAGAAGAAAAAAAACAAGAAAAAACTTCTTTCCTTTTTTTTAAGCGTACAAACAACAGTAAACTATGACCAAACCTTGTTGCTGGGAAAGCAGAAAAGGTGATAATCACCTGTAAACTCCGCCACCTTATGTTAAATGCTTTTTCGTCTTCTAGTTGTTGTTCTCGTTGTTTTAAACGTGCAGATGTTGTCTTAACTTTATCTTGAAACTGCTAATAGAAGGAGATGATACTACCAATTCAGGCAGAGCATTCCGGTCTCGAGCTGTTCGAACTAAAAATGATTGCAGCACTGCTTCAGTGCGAGCAAATGAAATTGAGACTTGTTGTGAGTGTTAAGCTAGTCTTTCAGATCTTCCGTCCCGTTGGAGTTGGATAAGATTAAGTCGTAATAGAGGAGATAGACCTTTAAAGATTTTAAAGAAGATAACAAGTCGAAAGTACCTTCTCCTTATTGACAACTGAGGTAGGTTTAGTTTTGTTATTGGCTCTGCTTCCGATGAAACGAAGTCTTTCAGAATCAAATGTGCAGCCAGTTTTTGTACTAATTGAAGTCGAGCAACTGATGTGATCATATCATCATCATATAGTACACATGCATAGTCCAGTTTAACTACGAGACAAATTTTATAAATTTGTAAGCGCGCAGATGACGGTGCTTCTCTGAACTGTCTGTACATCACACCTAAACGTTGTCAGCATTTTTTTACTAGGTCTTCTACATGAGTTTTCCATCTAAGTTTGCAGTTAATTTGCAACCCCAGAAGATTAAGTGGATCATTTCTTTGTATCTCAGTACCATCTCATGGAATACCATGATCGATGTACAAGGTTCACATTTAGATCACATGCGATGTCTCATAAGCCGAAAAAACAGTACAAAGTTCTGATCACCAATAACCGATAACATCAAGGAAAGACGATTGACAGTTACAACGTAAAGAAGAAATTTGTATAGTCATTGTGACTTCAATAAAAAGAAAAGATATAAAGTACAATTTTAAAGGTTGAAATTACATATAAAATATTTACTATAAAAAAAAGATAACGTGCTCACTGCAAATTAGATATACTAATCTTTGAAAGATTCCAATGTAAAGTCAAATTCATTGCTGACGTGTTGATAATAATGGTTGATTAGTAATTAATAAATTATCACAATTAGCTGTGTTTTGCAGATATAATTTATGTTCATTACAATTAAATAGCATACAATAGAATGCTGATGGTATTTCAGTCAGGTTTAAACTATTCTTCAACAACAAGCATTCACATAACTGTACAAATTCAACTGGATTATCATTCATTGCTACCGTTGTTTTTGCAGTTAAATTTGATTGTAACCGTTTAAACTCTTCGATGATATTATATTTTAATTTTTTCACATTGACTTGCTGAGTTCTTTTTGTATATTCAATTTTTTCATAATATCGTTCGGGTTCAGGTGATTCGACAATTATTTCTAGATTATCTCTTGATTGAATATCTAACACATATAACAGATAATGAAAAAAAGGTAAGACATTTAGAAAAAACAGTACAAACCTTCATCACTTTCGAAACCAAATGGCAATGGAATATCATCAGCTTGATCATAGTCATTCAATTCATCAACATCAAATATATTTAATTTCTCACCAACTGACTTCGAGCTATGCGCCGTTGAAATAAATAAATCTAGAAAATATGACGTAGAAAATAATTCATTTATTTGACATATTTTCCTTGATTGTTTTATTTGATTATTAATATTTTCTCGACTACGTAAAACGCTTATTGACTGTAATGTTCTTTTCAAAGATTTTTGCTTTGTTCGTCCTTTACTTTTACCAAATATCGATGATAATGATTGTTTTGAGAAAAAATCACATTTTTGTTGTTGTATAACAGCACCACTACCAGTGTGTTTTCTCTCTCGAGCTTGTGCTTGTTGTTGTTGTGATGGTAACTGTGAATAATTCTCAAGAAGATTAACGTATTTCCATAAATTTGGACCAGCAAATAATTTTAGTTTTGTTACGTCAAAATAATTATATTCCTTGCTACCAGTATTTTTTAATAAAGATGGTATTTGACCAAAAAATGAAGATGTTCTGGAAATATTATTTATATCATTGGATACAATTGACAACATTTGATCATTTATTGTTGTTGATGGAAAAGGAGCATTATCAAATACTGATACAAAATTTTCCTTCTATAATAAAAGTGTATATTAAAACGATCTGTTGATAGTATGAAATCTATAATATTTTTCTAAAAAGGACTTATGCCAAATAAGACTTACATATTGTGATGGTTGCGATGATCTTAAAACATTATCTAGATTATTCGAAAATTCATATGCCATTGATTGTACATCATCCATAAAGATGAATGAAGATAATCTATTTGAACTGATATCATTAGAGAAATGTTGTTCTCCACTATTATAAACATTTGTCGTAATATCATTTTGTTGACTAAATTCATCTAATGATGTTTCATGAATTGTACTTATTGTTGAATCGGTTGTCGTTTCATTCCATAAAAAATTTCTTAATTCATTTGTACCTAAACTGTGATCAACATGTTGATGTGGTTCTATTATATCTCGTAATTTTTCCAACGAATATATTGTGTCAATAGCATGTTGAAAACGAATTTTCGATTTTAACTCTTCTTTGATAAAATTTTTTATTTGTATATTGGCAAAGTCTCGGATAAACGAATAATCACTTGTCGAATATGTCGTGCAGGAGATCATATGATGGTGAATCGAATCGCTTTCATTTTCACTTTTTGAAAGACAACATAAAGATGTCGGTAAAAGTGGACGAAATCGGATCAATTCATTATTATCATCGATGTTATTAATGCTTATTTTCGATATATCAGTTACTATAATTTCATTCTTTTTACCATGGGAACGTGTTTTAGTTTTATCACTCATTTTAACACTACCATTATCATTCTTCATTGTTATTGTTGATGTTAAATTATGAACTTGTTCGACAGTTGACATATTCATACTTAGCTTTTGTGTCTCAGTGTGTAATGCATCAACACGATAAGCATAGATTTTTGCACTTGTATTGATAACATTACCAGCTTTAACAAAATTTGGGCCATTTTCATTTTGGGCAACATTTTTGATAATAGGCGATAAATATTCCAAAAATAAATAATCGAATGCATTTTTGATTGTTATTTTACCATGTACTGACATTTCAATTGTTGTTTGATAAAGTTCAACAAGTTCCGGTGATGTTTTTGCTGGTATAATATTTTCTTTGTTATACAACGCACTAAGCCGATTTGTTGATTGAGAAACACGGCCATTTGATAATAAAGCGATATCCGCATCCAATTTCAAGCTGTTTCCACGATTGTGAAGTGTTCTAAAAAGAGTTGACATTTAGAAAACAGATTAAATTGAAAAAAAAGAAAAAGAAAATTACCGTCGAGAGGATCGGGTTGACATTTTGTGTGATCTGCAAGAATAAGAGTGATCGAAATTCATCTAGAATACTCTTCGTAAGATGTTGGTCAACGATCGCTCCACTAGATATTTAACCCATTCGGAAAGCTTCTACATCAATTAAAATTAAAGTGTACGAGACAAATGCAGTCTAGAAAAATATAGTTTCTTTCTGAATATTATCACCGTGACCACTCACTAAAATTGAAACTTATCGTCTATACTACAAGTAACGCTTTCAACTTCTGAAATGCTGCTACGAAACCTGTTTGTTCACTATTTTCTTTGTTTACTTACTTATTTCGTTCACGTGATGCAAAGTGTTCTTTGAAATGGAGAAAATGTACTATCTCTGAAAGACCTAATATTTGTTTTAAATAAAAAGTAGCAAGGAAGGCGGAAAAAATATGACAGAGAGATATGATGCTCTTTTCGTTTACATCGTCTAGTCTGTTGAGAACAGGCTCATAGCAGGAAGATATGTGAGGAAGGAGAACGTTGATAATGTTTATTTTCCTCCTACGTTGGGAATACATCAGCAACAAATTTTCAACAAATCAAGAGTTTGAAGTGGAAAACTTATTTTAAATATTTTGTGTATCACTTATTTACAAGCCTGAACAAAAAACGTATGAGAAAGGCAGTTTTGGATGTGTATTGATTAACTAGAGCGAAACAAAACTCGAATGAAATACAAAAACATACTCAAACGAGCTTTCATAAATCTATTACAAAGAAAATTTCTTATATTTCATTTTTCCGAATATTTCAGCGGATTCCTGTTGACACTCAGAGTAGAGATATGCAACCCGACCCGATCCGAAGGTTGGATACAGGTCGGGTCCAGGTAGAGCAGTTAGGGATACAGGTTCCGCTTTTTGTTTTATTTATCCGAAAATCGGAAGGTTTCAGAAGAAAACCAGAAAATTTTAGTGGATATCTTTTCTAAGTTAAAATGATTAAAGATCTGTTTGTTCTTAAGATATACCCGAGACCGTACTTCGGTGTTGGTAATAGATTGTTGAAAATTGTTTAGAACAGACGAGTTGGTGCTGATAGAAGAACTTTTTGTACACTTTTGAAGGAACTAGTTAATCAATAACTCTTCTTTCCACACGAACATAAACAATAATCGTGAGAATGTAAAGTACATTTACATAACTGATAATTTTTGTGATTGATAACCAACATTTTAGAATAAATCTGTTTATATAAAGCACTGTATCGCCCAAAAGTTGACTTCCTTCCCCTGAAAGAAGTTAGACTAAATTAGTATTACGGCCTATAATGGCACGCCCCGGTTTGGGGTATACATAATGAGGCACCCGTCGTACGAATACAGCACAGATGTTTCCTTCGTAATCTTAAGTCGATATAGGTTTCATAAACAAGTTGTACTATTTCTCGTCCGAATGTTTGAGCTTAGCCCAGTCCTGTTGACACTTAAGCCCTGGCTTCGTACTGAGTTTTTTCTAAAAAGGAGGAATTAAGGAGGAATCGCAAAATCTTGAAAGAAGGAACGCCACTAAAAAAGGAGGATGTAAATCCTCAGCTAAAAACACTAATTTCACATAATAGATGAGCGATACAGTTGAGCCTTGCTTTATCTATAAATTAACCGGTGAACCGTTTCTACTTTTGTTATCCAGCCAACTATAGTTGGCTGGATAACAAAAGTCCAAGTCAACCGTATACGGTTGAACTTGGACGCTTTTGGCATAAATATGGTTTTATCTAAAATTGCTTTATATCTATCCATGAGAACGTTTTAAGCAACTGTCGGGCGATATAACTCGATATTAGAGGGTAGACAAAAAAATATTGAAGTAGATCACGATAACAGACATAGCTAACTGTAACGATCAATCATTGCCTACTGCCAGAAAGACCACGTTTATCGGAGTAGAAACCCATACCTTGTTGCTATCTAGATACGGATGAGTTATGATACATCTATGTATATTGTTGATCGCGTTAACTATGCTGTTTATCAGACGACATATACTGTACCCTGATACGTCTTTTTAAGTTCTATAGCGCTAAATCCCGATACTTTGAGTGTCAAGTTAGTTGCACCATTTATCGAGATTATATTTATGTTGTAGCTGATTAAGACAATCTTTTTTATTTCAATAGTCAGGTGCTTGTAGTCTTCCCGCGATAAACGCAATGTTAGGAGACAGCGTACCACAGTGTTACATCAAGATATTCTGCTCGAAAAACTCAAATGTTTTTCTTTTTCGTTTTTCTAACTTTTCGAAAGTATTCTTTTCGGATTCAGCGTTAAAATCTGGGTACGAGAATGATGCATGAAGATTTAGAAGAATGAAAAAGAAAAAACTTGAATTATTTTGAAACCGAAGGGGTCGAAATTTTAGACTCTTTGAATTGTTTCAGGTTTTTTCCTTAAAAGAATTGCTTTTAAAATTAAAAACCACTTTTTCTTATTTAGCTCGACGAGTTTTATCGGACCATCGGAAAGAAAAAAAATACTGCTGCAAATTCGAATTACTGACACCTTGTATAGAAGATGTATCAGTTTACTAATCGATATCTAGTTTATCAGGATATATTGAAACAACACTGTATCGGATATTATCTAGATAGAAAAATTATCTGATCCGTTGTCACACTCCTATATGTCGCCATGAAAATTATAGCGCGATACGTGCCGATGAATAAGTGACCGCGATGCACCGTAACAGATTGGTATCGAGATATATCTGTATAGTACTTGATGTTCGAAAGCATAGCGTTAAAAAATCTATCATATCCGTTGTCACACTGAGATGTATCGGTAAGGTGTCGATATAATGGGATACATCTGTCTAAAAACCAGCATTGGCTGATATCGCCCTGTAGTGTTTATCCCGGCATATCGCAGTGTGACAACGGATACGATAAGTTTTTTATCGTGGAGAAGACGCTTTTTTCTATTGGAAAAGTCCTCATGGATAAAGCTAATTGAAAATGAAAGCAAACAGATACTTGGTGAATAACAAACAGAAACTGTTACTAGACGCGTTTCTGACTGCTATTAGCAGAGATAGAGAGTGATACGAGAACAAGTGCCTTGGCTTAAGACTCCTTGAACCCAACTTAAAACTTTAATTTATACGGTTGAATGTTTTTTGTATATAAAACGCTTCAACTATTTTTCGTATTTTATATATAAGTATATATATATGCTTGCTTATATAATTGTTCGTGGTGCCATAGAAAATAAAATTTTTGTTTATTGCGACGCGTTTCGTTTTATTTAAAAATAAAACTCATCAGGCAATTTTTTGATCTAAAACACACACGAAAAAACACTTAATCAAAATAAAAAATAAATAAAAAAATTTTTTTTAAGATAAAAAGTATCAGACACACACATACACAAAAAGAAAAAGGAAAAGGGCTTTATGCCCGAAAGTGACTGTCTTAACGGCATCACACAGACACGCAGGCATAAAATGCAATTTTTAATTGTTGCTTTTATCCTGGTGTTGTGGTTGTTCGTTTCCACCGAGACGCTCCATATCGTCTGCCAAATCCTCCATGTCGGATGACTCATCCGTGCGGATGAGTTCTGCTACATGGCTCGGTGGCCCCTCATCACTATCATTGCCATCTTCTTCTGGAAGTGATGGAGCGGATTGTTGATGTACGTTTTGTTCTTGCTCCATCACCATTATATTTATCGCCGTTACCACTCGTTTTTTCCGCTCACGTCGTTTTCGATTTAACAACGTTTTGCGTTGCTGACGTTCGTGCGTCAAAGTTGAGTGCCTGACTGGCGTGGCTGCTTTTCAGCTCGCCGGACGCGCACGTTCGTATGGTGCTGAGTGATACTTGTCGGCTGTCAATCGTGATTGACTCGCTGACTCATCTCTCTGGCAATGATAATGATGATGCTGCTGACGTGATGAGAAATGGTGCTGCTGCCGATTGTAGTCGGTAACGATTCCATAACCGACCGATCGGTCATACGGAGCTACCCTGATTTCCCGACGATTTTGACTCGAGTCTGCTAAAACTCTGTCGTCTCGCCGGTATTCAGAGCTGCGGCTGTATGAGCGATCCTTCCAAACTGGCTCGGCTTTGAACCTATGGGACCTAGGGTCCCTGGTGTCGATGGTATATTGATTGCCTGTTGAAAATAGAGTTCCCTTGCGACCATTTATTCACTTGTGAAAGTGAAGATAAAATGCCATTTTTTTTCGGTTTTTATTCTGCACGTACTTTACTCGTCATATGATCGCTTTTTTCCGACCAAGATGTGTCCGTTAAATACCGGCGTTATTCTTGAAACAGAGACTGGACGAAGAAATGATCTAATATAGGTCATTTTTCTGATGAATAAATGATGCAAAAATCAAAATAAAACAAAAGACCGAGTGTACTGACAAAAGAGAAAGAAAAATTACGTCACTCAGTGACAGCTATTTTTCTCGAAATATAGACAGTCTAATGACTGATATATCAGAAAAAGTAGTACCTCGGCATGTATATATTTGTATATAAATAGCATCATACAATTCTCAGAAGTTACTTTTCGAGTTCAGATTAGAACAGAAAAGTGACATAGACGAAATATCTTCGAGTTCATAACAGAAGTTAATTCATACCACCTAATGAGACAGACCGTCGAGCACCGGTGGAAACGCGTAGCCCCAAAAAAATTCGGTCTGCAAAAATCTTTGCAGAATCTGTAAAGATTCTGCAATCTGCAGTTTTTCTGCAATGCAGATGTGCCAAGATTTGGTCAAAGATCTGCAATAAAATCTTTACAGTTTCTCTGCAGATTCTTTGCAGAAAAACTGCAGTTTTTTGCAGATTTTTCAGCGTGCTGTGGGACTGTGGGATATACATTTATTTCATATATTTCAAGTGTTTTGACACAAATATACAAACAAAAAAAAGCTGTAAAAATCTGCAGTTTCTCTGCAAAAAACCTGCAAAGGAACTGCAAAGAAACTGTAAAGATTTTTTT